AAGGTAACATCAAAATAAGTGCAGGTACATTTTTTCAGGACAGAACATATTGTAGATAAATCCTTTCCCATTTAGGAATGTCCCCTTGGCAGGACTCTTACAAAAATAAATATTTATTTTACATATGCTGTCAGTTCAAAGGAAATAGAAAAAGTAAGCATTTTGTCTCAGGAATCCATCAACCATAGCTAAATACATTGGCTTAGATCATATCACACTTTGTTAAGATGTGGATTTGCACTGTAGAAATGTGTAAGGTAAAGTGTTAGACAAGCATTACTTTATATAAAGATGGACAGAACCCACCAGCTGACTCTGATGAAAAGTAATTGGCTTGAGAAAGAATTCAAATGGATCGGGGTGAGGGGTGAATGATTCTGACTTTTTGTAGTCCTTTTGGTCCCACAGAATGAGAAACAGGGCAAGATTAATGCCTACATCTGATGGTAATAAGAATATATTCCATGCAACTCTATTTGATTGGTTTGGGATGGACAATACGTAGGTTGGACCCCTAGAACAATCTTCTACCCATGAGAGGGCTCTACCAGATTTGGTAGAGGGCTCTACCAGTTTTTAGTTATGGAAGGATAGACATCTTGCCTTCAATGTCACACGTAAGAAAAATCTAACAGTGCCAGGGTTAAGAAGGTGGCATATCTGGGCAGTTTCTGGGGGTCTAGGATGGCCCTACTGACCTTCTACCATGGACAGGTTTTCCTAGTGGGCACCAGGTCTTTTGAAGGAGCTACCCCAGTGGCACCATATTGCCAATCTGCGCTCTCAGCATGTTCCATATCCAAGGTCTGGTCTGCCTTGTGCGTGGATCCAGGCACCAACCTGCTCCTCGCCAAGAAACGTTGGCATTGCCCGCTTCGCTCAATGGCCCTTCCCTGACGGGTCTTCTGGACGGGTGATGGCAGTCCTGAAGGGAACTGGGCCCACATTCAGCTCGCCTCCCATTCTGAAATCCCAGCCACTCAAAAGATATGGTTGGGCAGGGCTTGCCTGGCTGGCGAGTGATGCAGCGGGGCACTGACCGTGAGCAGAGAGGCAGTGAAAACTTGCAGGCCCACTGAAGTCTGGTGCCAGCCCTGAAACACGATGTTCTCAAGGGACAAGAACACACAATATCCCACTTTTCTTGGCTTTTCTACACAAGACTTCAACTACACTGATGGCCCGTGCCCATGAAGATCTCCCACCTGCCAGCAAGACGTTTGCAGAATCATGGACCACAGCCAGCTGTGACATTTATCACAGAGTTGGAAGGGCCTATAAGGCCGTCGAGCCAGCTTCCAGCTTCCACTCTCCAGTCCCCTTTAACTCACCCCTGTGCAGAGCACTGCTCTGAGCCCATTTGGAGTGACTCCCCTGTGTGCCTCTGTGGGGGAACTCCAGCCATGCCACACGGAGGCATGGAGAGAAGCCCCCACTACCCAGAAGAACGGGGAAACCTCCGTGCAGAGGGAAATTCACGTGCAAGTGCACAGGTGCCCACAGCAATGCAGAATGTTTGCGAATCGCTCGCGGGAGAGGTTTTGTGTCACTGCATTTTAAAGCGACTGCGATCGTGGTGACTTGGCCAGACATGGCGTTCCAAATTCTCCCCCACGTTTGGGCAGGCATCGACAGCAGAACTAGCCCTTCGCAATCCTGATGGAAAGCCCATTTTGAATGCAAGAACATGATGTAAATCTCCCTGTTTATGTTTTACCTGCATAATTCTGACCACAGTCTGAAGACTGTGGGCAGAAAGGCCGAAGTTCGGTACCCTATGCATGACAGTGACGTCTCCAGAAGACGCATGATCAGCTTTTCACAGCACGATCCTAGTCTGGCTTTCCCAGAATTAAGCCCACATTTCACACATCTGGCTGGAGAAGGCTGGGTGCTGTAGGAGCCAATTCCTGCTTAAATGCCCACAGGATCACACCCTAAGATTGCAGACTTGAAACAAATCCCTAGGCGTATTCATATTCAGAAGTAAAACTATGGAATCATTGGGCACAGTTGCAAAACACGACTGCTCGTACAATGACTGATGTCCCTTGTCTGTTCCGTCCTTTAAATTTATTGGCTTCCCAGCTCCTGGAAGCTCAACAGAGACCAAAGGGCAGATAAACCGAGCTTTGTGAGTGACTAAGGGTGGTTACAGAACATGGTTTTGGCTAATAAGCATTTCTTGCATCCCCTTGCAGGTGCACAAGGATCATCCGTCAGAATGCCGTGGGTTGTGTCTGATGGCAGGCTGAGATTTTAATGATGGCTGCTCTTTGCCATTGATCGGAGGTTGGGGCCACGGGGGGGGGGGGGGGGGAGATGTTCTTGATATTCTGTGGATGGGAGCATACTGTGCTGATTATCCAAACTGCTCTGCTGCCAAACACTAACAAACTGAAGCTGCCTGGAGAGGAGATGGCAAACCAGTTTTTCTTTTTCTACCGTTTTCAAGAAAAGTACAGAAGACAAACGGTTTCTGAAGCATCTTCATGAAAAGTGGTGCTGGGGCTTCTCTGAATGAGACCATTAAGTTCTTGCATCTGCTTCAAGTTTGGCCACCAAACAGATCTGTGCCCCATGCGAGGAGCGCGGCCTTTCTTGTTTCCCCATGAACTTACTTCTCCTGTAAAACAGCGCATGTGAGCACATTCTCTCACTCTCAGCGATGATGTTCCCTTTTTCCTGCTGCAAAAGACCTTGCAGAAAGTTCTGTTTACATGTAGGAGTGAGACTGGAGGGTGAGGATATTTCCGAAGGAATCCATAAACAGCTGCAAGTGAAGGATGCTGAATGTACCACGGACGCTCCTGGCAGAAAAGCTATGAAGCTTTTGCACTAAAAAAGACACGGAGTTTTCGCAGAAGAGACTTCTAGGCAAGTGTCTGCACCTTGACATTCACAAAAGAGAGCCAGGGTGGTGTGGGGGTGAAGAGCGTGGGCCTGGGACTCAGGCGATCTGGGTTCGAGTCTCCGCTCAGCCATGGAGCCCACTGGGTGACTCTGGGCCAGTCGCAGACTCTGAGCCCAACCTACCTCGCAGGGTGGTTGTTGTGGGGATGAGATGGAGGAGGAGAATGATGTAAGCTGCCTCGAGCCCTTTGTAGGAAAAAGGCAGGATATAAATCAGAAAATAAATAAATAAAAAGTTTACAGGGCTCATTGTTCTCTTCCTGCTTTTCTCTCACCATTTCAGCTGCTTTGCTGGTTCCCCAACCCCGGGAAACGTGGTATTTGTGGGCCAGCATCACTTAGCACTGTAGCTGCCCATTCGAAGTTGTGCAAGAGCATTTTAAAAACTTGCACACCTGCAGGAACAGGGTGTGAGAAAACAGACCCACAGAAAATGACGGAGAGAAAGGGTAGGGAAATGTTATACTCGGTGGCAGAGCATTTCGTATCTTGGAAGAGTTGGCTGTAGAAAGTGCAGCGTAGCAAAACAAACGAACACACACAAAACATGTGCATGGAACCCTCAAAGATCCGACATGCACTTCAGAAGCAAACGCCTGGCAGAGGTGTGGTGAGAAGCCCACAGCTAGAAAAGCTGCTACTCTCTCATGGTCAGTCCTCATACGCATGCAGAGAGACGGCCGGCCTAGTTCTGGATGCCGTGAATCTAGCGGGACTTGGTGGCCTCCCAGACTCCTAGAATACAATGAGCTGACCAAGAATTCTGCATTCCAATAAAGGCAAAAACCAAGATGAGGGCCAGGCCAAGTGGGCCCTCCAACGTCATTCGAGGTTTTTGGCTCGCAGGCTGAGTAGGTCCCCCGTTTTCCAGAGGCCCGATTGTTTCACCTGCTTGTCCTGGGTGCACCCTCAAATACTATGGAACACGCCTGCCTTTTTCGTACCCATGGACCACCGGAAGGTGGACAGGAAGACCTCCTTCCCATTTTGCTTCAGGTCTCTCACAATCCAATGTCATTGGCCAGGTGGCATCGCCATGCAGCCAACTCAGAATGGAAACCTTGCTTCCTGCACCCCGGTGGGCTGGTGGGTAGCGACACAGGGGGCCACGCTGGCCCAAGATGCCAGGACCCTAACGACGTGCTGGCCATGGAACACATGCGAAGGGGACAGTGGTGTACAGAACCTTTCACACACGCACTGCTTCGGAGTTGAGCAAGTTTACTCTCAGACTGGTGCTCCACCTTGGAGAAACCCCCTAGCAGATGAACCCTTGTCACGACTCATTACATCGGATTCATTTTCTAGATGGGAAGAGTCATCCTATTTTGCCACAGACACGTGTTCCTAACCTCAGGAAGATGGCACTCAAGTCAGCGATTTTGCCAAAACTTCCCACAAGGCAGATCTGCACCTTTTTACCTGAGGGGACATTTTGAGTCTGGTAGCATGACTGCTGGCCAGCTCTTTTGGCAGTTTTGGACATTTCGAACCCCGTCCCTTTGGTCAACCAGGCCTCCTCTGGAAGGAGGAGGTGGCAACAGACACACAGGTTCCCTTTAGTGTTGAGAGGATGGGGACCTCCACAAAGTATCGGCCATGAGGATGCTGCGTGAGTCTTGCTGTTCTGCTCGGTTGAGTGCAGCCTCACACCTGGATTTCACAGATGCAGCTTGGACTTCCCTCTGGACTCACGTGCAGCTCCTTCATCAGTGCCAAGCAAGGTCCCTTCTCTAGTCGCAGAACATTTTTCTCTGCCCCACCCTTCCCTCAAAAATGGAAAAGAGCCCTCAAAACTGGTGAAGAGCCAGACTTGTAGAAACCACCCAGTCTTCAATGGGCGCGTGTTTTCTTTCTTTCTCAACCTCTCAGGTGCCACGGCAGGAGACCCAAAGTGAGGCTGGGAAGCTGACGCTGCTCAGTGTTCTGGACTCCAATCCCAGCCACGTGGATTTCTTCACCAGCCTTATGGCTCCTCAGGAAACAGTTCCTCCCTTTCACCCCATAGTTTCTCATTAAATCTGTTACAGTTCCATGCATGAACAGGAAGGGAAGGCAAGTCATTCCATGCAGAAGGACAGAGGCGCTCAGAGCTGAGTCTCATCTCTTGTTTCGGGGTTACAAGAGTCCATCTTGTTACTGCAGCTGCTCTTTCGACTGTGGGTTTCGTTTTCCACGTGCGCTAAAGGATCAGGTCGTATTAAATACCTGGGTAGAAATGAAGAAATTCACAACACGAGTTAAGCCAAGGATGGGCAAACTTGAGATCTGCAAGGCCTACTTTTTTTGAGACTGGAGCCCCAAGAGCTGGTCCACCAGAGCTCGGAGCAAACGGAAGTTCCTTAAAAGCCACTTCCTGGCTCAGGCGTCTTTGATTCTGAGCACTAGGACTGGACAGAATTCACAGGCACCGAACTTTAGTCCCGTTGGCTTAGCTAAGGCTGGGAGGAATGGAGTTAGGTCCTTCTTGTTAAGACTACCCTTTCCCAGTGTCAGATTGCTGAATCTTGTTGGACTACAATTCCCAACACCCAGAAGACGGGAACTCCAGTGGAGGGCTGGAAAAGTCTATGCTAAACGTTTGGGTTCTTGGGAGAACCAGGTTCTGGTCCCCATTTCCCACGTTACTTTTTGTCCCACCTGTCTTGAAGAAGAAAAGGAAGACCAAAGATGAGACGGATCGATCCCTTAAAGGAAGCCACAGCCTTGAGCTTGGCAGAGCTGAGTGGAGCTCTCGTGGACATCTTGGAGGACTTTCACTCATGGGGTCCCAGGTCAGAAATGACTTGACGGAACTTAACCACTAATTGCCTGGCTGACAAATGCTGATGTTTGGTCTCCAGCCAAACAACAAAAATGAATGGAAGCAAAAAAGAAAATGCCGAACTACTGGAATCAGTGAAAGATCTATAAATATTCAAAACATCAGGGGACAATAATCGAGTGACAGATGAACAGGGATGGTGCGTTGACCTCCACATCCCCACCGAGCCGGGGCAGAAAGACCTGCAGTCCTTGGAAGCCAGAAAGGCGACCTCAGAGTGGGGACAAGGGAATATTTCAGTGGTTGGAGAGGAGGAGAGAGAGGGGAGACAGAATGGGAGTTATCCGGATGGCACCCAGACTCCCCCCCCCACCACACTCTGAAATGTTGTTAGGTGGTGAAAATGCAGGGGGCAGAATAGGGAGGCGAAAACGTCAGACCTCATCCGTTTGGGGGTTACAGTCCTTGGAACAGGACGGCCCCCTAAGTGCTTGCTGGAAGAGGAAAGTCCCAGCGCGGAGAACTGTGTACATACACGATGTCGTTGAGTTCCAGCCGTGTGTCAGGAGGGGGGTTAATGAGGACGTAGGATAACGTGTTCTGGTGGTCATTCATCTCATCTGCAAGGGAAAAGAGAGATGCGTGACCTATCATACGTCGAGTTAAAACAGCCGGTGATTCGCAAACTGAGACAGCTTTGGGATCATTGGATGTGCTCTCCTGGCAGCCTCATCATGGGCAAACGCCCTTGCTGCCTCCTCACCCAGTTGAGTGTTCAGTGGGGCACCCGTTCGGCATGTGGAGGAAGCCAAGATCAGGCCAGGCCTTGAGTTTGCAGTTGCCCTTAGTTTCCATATAGCCTGAAGTGCCTGATCCTGCCGAATCTTGGAAGCTAAGCAGGGTCAGGCCTGGCTGACACCTGGACGGGCAACTCAAACGCTGTGCACCACCCAGAGAGCTTCAGGATGGGCCGTTTAGAAACGTAATGTCATCGTCGTCATCAAACATGCCACAGAGGAACCTACACAGAGGGGTGCAACCTTGGCTTGAAGGGTGTGTGTCTTCCCCAAAAGGGAACAGACCCAGCTGGTCTCCAGTCCTACATCTGAGAAGCTGCTGTTGCTCTTGCTAGGTGGAACTCCACAGTGGCAGGAGCAAGGACCAAAAAATTGGGAAGTGGGAAAAGGAAAGGAAGGGTATGGATGTATTACAGGAGCAGGGGTGGAAATTCTTGTAGTGGCCCATAGGATGGAGCCATGTTCTTCTCATGGACCTGTGACACTCATGAAAGAGGATGTCCATACCCACCTTTCCCATGAGAGCATCTCCAGAAAGGCTATCTGACAAAGAAAATGCTACCCAGTGAACAAAGGATCCTACTGGGACAAGCTGGCGGGGCGGGGAGCAGCATCCCCCAAAATCATGCAGAGGGAACATCTGTGAGCAGAGTTCTTCTTTTCATGGAAGACAGATCCTGGACCCAATCCATTCTGTGTAAAACAGTCTGAACACTCAGTGGAAGGTTTATAACTACAACTAAAAATTCAATTCATATTCCTCCCCATCCAAACTGAGGCCAAACAATTAGCAATTTTCCTGGCTGGAGGAATGCAGAAAAATCCACTCTTTCCACACTCCTCCTGCCCTTCCTAGGATGCCTGTGAACCTCCAAATTTTGGAAGGTTATGGACAGCCTCACTGGAATGCAACTTTGACCTGAAAATGGCCATTTGCTTGGATTGTGGCCTTTCTCCACAGCTGGCTCTAGGATTACCCTAAGAATGAGGAGCGCCGCAACGAAGGCCAGGCTGACAAGCACAAGATGGTGAGCACTGAAAGGCTATCTGACAAACAGAACAAGCATGTGTGAATGTGAAGCAGGCATCTGGTACAGTCAGAAAGGGCGTCCCCTCTGCAGTTTTGATCTCTTAGATTGTACCTTGGCTTAACACAGACACAGAGAGAACGGTGTGACTTGGGAGGGGAGAATTTGCTTTGCAAATGGGTTGAATTCACACTGAAGCATCTTTGGTCAAAGGTAGCAGAATTGGGGGGAAATTTGCTACCAGGTCTGGCCACTGGTGGGATCTTCCACCCTGCTGGGAAGCAGCTAAGTAAGTTGGAGACTTTGCTTTGCTTGCATTTTATTCTGAACTTCTCTAATTTCACCCTTTGGAACCAGTCCTTCAAAATTTACATTTTTTCAACTTTTGCCAAGAAGCCTTCCGAGAAGAAATGTCTGCAAAAAAACCTGCTATGTAGGGACGGGGCACACAAAAATGCACAACTTAGATAAAGAAAAATGTTAAACTCCACTGTATGGCTTGCAAAGAAAAGAAAAAGAAAAAACAAGCAACATGGCAAAAATGCATGTATTAAGGTGAAATAGGTGCAAAAGCACGTATGAACTTCAAAGCAATCTTTCTGAAAATTCAGGATGAGCCAAACGTAGGATGGGAAAATATGGAAGTGAAATTAACTGAAGCAGCTGCCCATCCCTACAACTGGTCCATGAACTTGGGCAGGGGCCCTTCCTGGGCCTGCTCCTCTCCCTTCAATTGAAGATGGGCCACCTACATGCAACGTATGTGCCAGTCTCTGAGCTGCACGACCCTCGAACAGTGCAGGAGACAACCCTCAGGCATTTGGCAAGGAGGAGGACTCCACCCTGGCCCAGTCCTGGCACCCACAATTGCAGGAATGGCAGGCAGCATCGGAGGAAGGAGGCTTGTCCCTACCCAGGAGGGTTGCTCAAGGTGTAAAAAGCACCCATGAAGCCCATGCAGAGAAAGGTGCTTGTTTCCCAGCATCCATGGCCACAGCTCATTCCCACACGGAAGCACGGATGTCCCCATTGTGGGCATCTCCTGCAACCGGAAGCGAACGAGTCCCATCTCATTTGCTGTTGGGTTCCTTGCTAATGGTGAATTTGGAGGAGCAAAGCTGTACGGACAAAGGGAAGCACATCCCTCTGTCCTTCGCAATCGCTGTCAGCTGTTCCTTCAAAGCACAACCCGTCGCAAGGGGCTCTGTGGCCGGACACCTCCCTAGGCTCGCTGGCAGAGTGTCCAAGGTGCTGCCTCTCCAGCACACCCCTTTCCTCATCTCCTGGGCCCATCTGCCACTGGAAGAGGCTGCTGGTGGGATTATTTCCATGCTAGCAATGTGGTAGGGCCACAGCACCCATGTTGCAAGACCTCAAGGCTGTGACTCCAAACCCCCCATGGCCCCCTTGATGATGCCAGAAGTCTGTAGGATCTGCACTTTTAGTCTGCAGCTCCCCTGATCTTTTCAGCCGAAATGCAAAGGCTCTCCCTCTAGAAGGAAACAGGTGAACCATGTCCCTTGGTGCTCACAGGTGTGACTATCTTGGGCAGGGAAAATCAAGGCCTCCTTTGTAGGATTCGTTTATCTTTCAATCAGGCACGGGCTGGGCAGGCCTCTGAAAGAGGACTGGCTTTAACCTGAAGGTGGCCCAAAGGAGGAGACATGGTCACCCTCTCAGTCCATGGCATCTTCACCTTAAAAGTCACAAGGCGTGACAGCCACAGCCAGCCAGAGGAGAGCATTCTGGGCAAAAGGGAAGAAAGGTCTGGCTCGGTTGCAAGGCAGGTCTACATCAGGAGATGAGGTTCTGGAACAAGATCTTCCAGAGACCCGGTGGCTGTACTGAGCCCTTGTCTGAAGAGTTTGCCAGTGGGATCAGGGCAGCCCTGGCCGTGGGAAGGTGGGTCAGGTGCTGAGAGTGTGTGGAGGTGCTGCTAGACAAATAATTCCCCCCTTCTCTGAGGATACCTGACATAGGACTCCCTCAAATGAACCACATCTGCTATCAATCCATTTTTTATGGTTCTCACTCCACTTAATGTGTAAAGATCATTCTTACTGCCTTTTCCAGTCTGGTGCTGTCCAGATGTTTTGGAGCAAGAGTTCTCAGAATTCCTGATAACTGGAACACTGGCTGGAGCTTTTGCAAGTTGATCTCTAAATAATCTGGAAAGCTCCACGAAGGGAAAGGCAGAATTACTGAAATCTCACCATCAAGTTTACAAAGCTTGCCTGCAGACCTACGCTCGTTTTCTGGCAATAAGCTGGGCCAGGGTGCCTTAAAAATTGTGCTGTTTGGAGGTTTCCATTTTATCATGCTGTTTTTAAGCAACAGTTCATTTGGAATAGAAATAATAGAAAAGCAAGATGCACATATACGTATCTTCACACACACCCTGGTGGTGTGACTCTGGAGTCTTTGTATCAAAGTTGTGCATAGTTCAATAAAAAGCTTCGAAATCCACCACAGCATCTCTGATCAGGACTATTTAGCCAACATCTCTTGGAATGGGGTAACTTTTCTTTGCAGGGAGAGAATGTTGAGGATCAGCAAAGTATCACGTATCTGTCACATCCACGTACAAGCCGCCAAGTTCTTGGGTTATTCTGGGAACTTCCCGGGGTAGCCCCAAAACAAAAGGACCACTTTTGAGCCTCCAATTTTGCATGTGGCCTCATGCAAGAGTTTTTCACCCCTGTGCCTGCAGCGGGCATCTTTATCATCATGGTGTTATAATACCACGAGTCAAACCTGACTCCCAGGGGAGAAGAAATTTACCTTGCAAATATCCAAGGTTTACCCGATTCATCACATCACAGGCTGTTAAATTTGCTACATCCTCTACAGAACATACAGAAAAGGAAACAGAACGGAACAGAACAAAAACAAACAGAAAAGCACAGACACAAACGGAGAGAAAGAGAAGAGAGAGAAAGATCAGCGAGTAGCAATTTAGAAAGTACTCAGAAACCAGCTTTGGTGATGACATGGGCAAAAATGTAGTAAAGGCTTATACATACACAAAAAAGAAAGAAATGAAAGAAAGAAAGCAAGCAAAAGAAAAGGAAGCCAGGTTCCTATGAGAGCCCCATGAGGCCGTGCTTATTGGACAGGAGGAGCCATATGCTGGGCTCGGCAGAGCAGCACAGAGATGATCCGCTGCACTGATCCTGCGTGAATCCTTACAGCCACCCCAAGTTCCTTAGGAGGAATGTCCACCGAGACCCCTTCTCCCTCCCCACACACGTTTTTCTCCTCGTATGCACCACCTCCCCAGTTTATCCAGTTGGGGCACTGGAGCAGGAGGTTGTGCTATTTTTGCCATGCTTCTATCCTCGTGATTGTACACATGGCTGCGTTTTGCTCTGTCTGCAGATTAGCTTCCTTTTCGCATCTAGCCAGGGGTTCCCTGGTTCAGGAGCAATGTCAGGAATGGACCCTCCCAGTTCATCTTCCACTGGGACCCCGACCTTTTTGTAAACAAGTTTCCTTTGGGAGGAAAAGATCTCTTTTGAGATGAGCAGACTGGATCGTTTTGTCCTTCCCACAGCAGCCTTTGATTCTTGGACATCCAAGGTGGAACAGCAGGAAGAGGAGGAAAAAGATTGTACAAAATGGTTGAGATTTCTCCCTGGAAAATTCTTGCTTGTTTCCTCCCATCTCTCCTTGACTGAGGAAGGGAAGAAACGCTTAAACAGACACAGATCCCTCTAGCAAACAGACTTTTACAGCAGGACCCTCATATCCATGGGAGATACATTCCAAGCCCCCCAGCAGATGCCTGAAAATGTGGATAGTAGCAAACACAATATTTGCAGGGTTAGAGACACAGGGCCCCTGCAAAAGTGGGAAAACCACGAATATCTCTAAGGAAAATCTGTGATTATCTCTAGTCTTCGAGTCCACTGAGACAAAACACGTGGGTAAGGCTAGGCTGTTCTAAGACAAAGAGCTTGCATCCCAAACAGAGTGTGTGGTTCCCTAGAGATATTCATGGTGTCCCCATTTGCATGGTGGTCCTGTGCTCTTAACCCTACAAATGTGGAAGACCAACAGTCAGCTCTGATGATGCAAAACTGCGGCAACTGAGACAGAAAAACAAGGGTCCAGCTGTATTGGAATGATGCCACCTCAAAAATCTTGGGGTGCCTCTAGATGAGGTTGTTGTAGTGTCCGTCTCACTCACAGTCCTTTATGGGTCAAGGCAAAATTTCCCCCCTTCATAATGCTCCTACATTTCCCCACCTCTTTTTTCCTTACTGCAGAAGAAGTCAGAATCGGTGCGTGATGGTCTTCTGAGCTATGGTACTAGGAGTCCTCGGTCTATAAGAACCCATTCCCCCCCCCCCCGCAAAGATTGCCGAGATGTGTCATTTGGCCTCGGGTGCCAATTCTACATGTGGGATAGTCTTAGACTGACAATTCTGGAAATGTTTTAGGCAGAAAGAACAACTAATGAACCCACCAAAAGTTGTTGTGTATACACACCCTTAACTATCTCAAAGGCTCAGGACTTCCTTCAAGCCACACAGATCATTTGAGATGGCAGGTTTACCCATGGCAAAATTGCTCCGTGAAGCACCAGCTGTGTCATTCAATTTCTCTTCCAAGTAGTCTCATGCAAACATCATACGGGATGGATTCAAAAGACCATCTTAGCCACTGGTCAAACAAACAGCTGAGTTCTTAAGTGATGTTCTGAACCCACCTCAGATGTTTCGTTGCAGTGGCTTTGGGCTTTCTTTGGAGAAGCTTTGAATGGGGAAGCGCGTTGGCTTTCTGTGTATGGAAGCAACCCCTCCCTTCAGCTACCTAAACTATTGCAGGAAGAAAATACACAGTCAGGTGGCCACTCATATGTCCTGGGGTGAACTTACATGCCCTTTCAAAACAAACTTGAAGAACTATAGCTTAGTCCTGGCTTCTGAGGGCACCCATCCGCTGTTCCTTTGAGGCATTCATCAGTCTGTGGCGCTCCAATTCTTTGTGGGAGGATTTTGATCAATAAAATGCAATCACAGAGCCATTCTCGCGAAGACAGGCAATACTGGGTCTTCAAAGGGCTCCTGTACCTATAATTAAATGCTTCTTGGTGGTACGCTTTGTTAATTGCATTGCTTCTCTATGAGGGCTGGGGCGGATTTAGTGAAGACCTTACCCCTCTCTCTTCTCTGTTCTATTCTAATTTTTGAATTTGTAAAGAAATACATTTTTATATTCCACTTTTATGAAAAAATAATAAAAATGCTTATTATTTCATTCTACCGCCCTACTTGCAGTCGAGGCAGTTCAGAGAGGTGATTCAAAGAATAACTGGTGTGATTTTCATCCTTAATGCAACCCCCGCACTGTTCAGGAAGTAAAACAACAGGTCAAACCCGTAACAAGAACAACCCAATTCACACTTCTTGGAAGCTTCTTGAAGCAGCACTGCATTTCTGCATTAGGGAGGGGGCTATTTGCCCTTGTGGACGTGGAGGCCAAGTCTTAATTCCAATTCCAGCGCCAGCTACTTACAGGAAAGCCACGTGGCAGCTATGCTAATGGGTTGCAATGCAAGAAGCATCCATTTTATCCTTGCTGAAGGCTTCGCATGCAATCCAGGCCTAACGAGGGGAAGCCTCATTTCTCTTGTGAATCCTTCATCCTTCTGTCTTTATCCAGAAAAAACAATGCCTAATATGCATGGCTGCTTGAGACATTTTCCCCAAAGCATCACCAGTCTGCAAGGCCCAGCTCTGTTTTGGCAAACATGCAATATGGAAACGGTCACAGGAAGCTGTAACCTGGCGGTCAAACAGTCCAGACAGTATGATAAAGCCTTCTCTGATCCGGTGCCTTCCAGATGTTTCGGACAAGAATTCCCAACGTTCCAGGAGATTGGCCTAGGACTGATGGGAATTGGTCTGGAGGACTTCGGATTGGAGCTGGCTGGTATGAATGCTCAGGCGGCGGCACAGAATGGCACAACAGAAATCTGCAAAGAAAAGAAAAGTGAAGAAGCCGTGGAATGAAAGCCGTTCCCCTGAACCTCTAAGAAACTCACCAAACTTCTAGTTATTACTTATTTATTTATTAGACTTATATCCCACCTTTTTTTCTCATCAACTCATAGCAGCTTACACCGTTCTCCTGCTGCTCTCAGTCATAGCCTCACAACCACAACCCTGTGAAGTAGGCTCTGCTGAGAGTCTGGGACCGGCCCAAAGTCACCCAGTTGGCTCCATGGCCGAGCGGGGACTCGAACCCAGTTCCCCTGAGTCCCAGTCCAGTGCTCTTAACCATGACACCGCACAGGCTCTTGTTTGCCTTTTCCTCAAGACGGCCTCACTGACCACTTCCCTTTCCATGGCAGTGACTTTTGGATTTTGGCCCAGAAGTGCACAGAACCTGGTGTGAGTTTCTGCCCTGTCTAGCTACCAAATGGGTGGTGGGAGGCAGAGGAGAACAACCGTGATCTTTGCCCGAGGACAGCCATCATCACACAATGTCGGTACAAGTAAATATCGACATTTTTTCAGGAGGATGGGAACCCTGGATGCTCTCTCACTTGGGCACTGAGCAGATCACCTTAGCATCAGGAAAAGGTAAAGGTAAAGGTTTCCCCTTGACATTGAAGGCCAGTCATGCCTGACTCTAGGGGGCACTGCTCACCTCCGTTTCCTGGCCGAGGGAGCCGGTGCTTGTCTGCAGACAGTCTCCGTGGTCACATGGCCGGCGTGACTAAACACGGAGGGGCACAGAACGCTGTTACCTGCCCACCGAAGTGGTACCTTTTTACCTACTTGCCTTTGCACGCTTTCGAACTGCAAGGTTGGCAGGAGCTGGGACGGAGCAACGGGAGCTCAGCCCATGTGTGGATTCGAACCGGCGACCTTTCGATCAACCAGCCCAGCAGCACCGCGGTTTCAACCACTGCGCCACCCGCAGCCCCCCAGCATCAGTAGCAGTGGCTGCATCACATGCAAATCGACTATCAAGTCAAATATCAGGCTGGGCGGTGGAAAAGCCTCTGCCCTTATAGCTGCAAATTTGTTGAGAATATCCCAATGAGCTTTGCCGACCGGGCGGGATAGAAATATAATAAATAAATGAATGAATGCGACTTAGCTTCCAAAGACATGGTGGTCCAGGTGTGTGTGGAGTCCCCCGCACCCCCACCCCCACCCCCAGAAATTCCTTCCATAATATTACGACTTGCTTTGCATGTCAAGAGTCCTGGGTCCAGGCTAAAAGGAGCAGGGAGCAGGAGATGGGAAAGAAAATCATAGAAACAGAGTGAGTCAGAAGGGGTCTCCTGGGCCATCTAGTCTGACCCCCGGCTCCAGCCGGCTCTGCTCACGACATGCCCACCGTGTGCATGGCCAGCCTGTCCTCGAACACCTGCACCAATGGGGCCTCCACCACCTCCCAAGGAAGCCCATTCCACACCCTCAGGGTTCAAATCATTGGCTCTGAGAGTAAATACTGTAGCCAGAGCTTCCTACGTGTCCAAGATGCACAATACAGAAAGAATCTTTGATGTTCGTGCTCTTTTGGGAATCTTCTGAGGGCCACATCAGGTTTTCTGCAACTTGTCTCCATTTTATTGTAGGTGGGTTGTAAAATGCATAACAAAAGCTTGCATATTAGGGGGAAAGGGCAGACAGAGATGTGGAAGAAGGCTTTGGACTTCCTAGCAGAACGTTCGGAATGCATTCTCCTCGGAAAATGGCTTGCAGAAAGTCGTGGAACAGGCACAATGGGGCAGGAAAATGCACGTCTTACAAAATTGCACACAAGTAGAGCCAAACCTCAACCTTCATGGGTTGATTTGGCGGGTGTGGCAGCAACTCTGGATGCGAGCAGAGCCCTTCCTGCGGATCGTCCCAGCTGAGACGAGTGTCCCCTGGCCCTTCTCCCTCCTGGGGGTGTGTCAGGCCAGCGTCCCACCTCAGCCGGCACCTAGCAGCTGCCCAGGGTCAAGTGTTGAGGTTTGTCAGGGGTCGAAAAATTTGCCACATTTCCATTTGCTGCGTTCCCTCAACATTTTCCACTTCGGAAGGAGTCCTGCTCCTCTAATCCCCATGAACGTGGAGGAGAGGCTCCAATGCAGAGGGGGTTTTGCGCATTTTTAAAAAAGTTTGGCATTTGGGATGAAATGGATTGAAGATGGGAAAACTCTGGCGGTTCGGGATGATCTGACCCTGAGATGGGAAGAATGAGAGATTGGCGACACCCCAGGCGGACCACTCTGCCCCCCTTGAATGCCAGTTGCAGGGAGACTGCAATGGGAGAAGATGCCTTCCCACCGGTCCTGGATGTGGGCTTCTGGGGGGCACTCTGTGGAAGGGGCTACTGGAGTGGAAGGGGCTTTAATTCCATCTGGCGAGGGAGTTCCTCCAGTCTCTTGAAGGGCTAGATCAATCCCTAGGGACCATGTCTGTCAGCAGCTGCAAACCCTGGGACAGGGAACGCCCCTGCCCCATATGCAGGCCTTTTGTCCCAAGTTCTAGTCCAGCCTTGCACTTCAAACTATGCATGTCTGCATAGCAGCCACTGGGGACAGATGACTCGGAGATGGACGAGCGCCATTCCCCCTCCATCTCCCGCCAATGGGCTTTCTCAGTCATCAGAGAGCTGTTCCTTGTGGCTGCGTATCCTTACAAAGCTGTGTTGTGCTAAAACAATAAAGCCTGCTGCCTCGGATGGGCCAACACAACGGCCAGAAAGGTCATTTGGGAAGCTCCGAACCCTTGTGGAAAAAGCACAAGGCAACTGGACCCTGATCGGCGCTGACTGCCGAAGACAGAAAGACGCCAACTTACCGTACCCGGCCGTGGGCAGGCCCAGATGTTTCATCCGGTTCTTCACCAGCTCGGACAGCTCCTGCCGCTCTGACCGTCGGTAGAGGCTCAGCCGCTGCTGGCTGATCCACTCGGCCGTTTTGGTGGTGTGCTTGCTGGCCCCTTTCCGGCTCAGCCTGCGTGCCCACTGCATGCTCTTCCGCCGGAGCAACGGGTGCTCCGTCTGGTCGGTGGGACACGAGTTCCGATGGTTTGTTTTCGCATTCCAGCAGTCCTTCACGTCCTTGGTGTCCTCACAATCTTCCACGTTGATTGAGACCTGTGACTGGGAACACCAGTAGGCCATGAGGGTGAGCAACGGGCAATTCCCGACCCCCTGGAGCAGAGCCAGGGCTGTGCTTCCACGGAACGGCAGGCAAAGCTGTGCTTTAGACCACCCCCATCAAGTTTTTCTTGGGCGAGGAGAGGTGGAGGAACCCCAGATGGTGAAGCCACCGTTTCCATCCTGGGAGATCCATAGGGTCTCCTCCCTGTCCTCTCTCACACTCTGTTCTGTAAATACTGAGCTATGCTGCTGATCAACAAAGCGAACTAACAATACTGCATGTAATGCAACAGGAAGTCGAAGACACTCTTCTTCTGCTGGAAAAGCTGAAGTCTAGATTTACTTCTAGGATAAGGAATGTGTTTGGAACCGAAGCTACTCACCTGGGTTCTGAGGTCATGAGGCTGGGGGAGAGAGAGAGAGAGAATGAGAAAGAAATTGAAAAAGTGCATCGTTATGTTGGCTGGACAGCCATTCGCCAAGATCTAATATGGAGAGGGCCATTGTTCAGGTGCCCAGTACTTAGTTTTTTCTATTCCACCTTCAGCTAAACTGCACCACAGGCTGAATTGTGCCATCAGGCAGGGATGTTGAAGTTGTGTCCTCTATGGAAGAGCGAGCATGGACTGGATGACCCCCCCCAGGAGAATTCCCTAGGACTCTCTAATTCACTTGTCAGTTCCCCGTCCCGCTTAGTCAACAGTGATGTCGGCCTCCGTGGAAAGGCTTTCTAGACCAGCCTCACCCAACCTGGGTCCTTCCAAATTCCATCATTCTGACCATTGGCCACACACTGATATGAGCTATAGACCAAGATCTCTATGGAAGGAACGTACAGTGTGATCATGGAACCAATGACCACGGAGTGTTCTCCATCTCTGGAGGCCTTCAAGCAGAAACGGGGTTCTCCTTCCAGCTGCAGTACTGAATGTTTATGAAATTCCAGGGTGCTCAACACTGGAACTTCCGTATGTGATCTAAACTATGCTCTTGGCAGAGCGAGAGCTGGCAAGCAAGGGCAAGTGAGAGTGCCAGAGGACCAAGAATGGCCCCAGAAGTTGGAAGTAGGTGACAAACAGTTTGGAATTTTATATACTAATTTTTGTAATAACAAGGATGTGAGCTGCAGCTTGGAAAGAGCAATTAATAGAAGTCAAAGAGGAGTACAGGACTTCTGAGATGTTGGCATGGTGTGAGGAAGCTGCTTCTCTCTTTTGGCGTCTTACATCAATGGTGGAAAACATGTGGGACTCCGTCCTATAGATGCCAATGGGGATCTCAGCGCTAGAAGAGCACAACTTCTGGAAGAGACGTCCATATGTCCGGATCCAGAGATCACTTTCAGTGATTTTCATCTATCCAGTATAGGAAGAAAAGGGGGAGAGAAAAATAAGAAGTCCTCTGTATTTTTGTCTGAGCTGGAAACAAAGCAGAGATGCATTTGTTAAGAGGTCCATGCCAAGCTTTATGGACTGAGCCGATTTACTTTTGGAAGGGCCAGAAACTGTTGAAGGACATTTGCCATGCAAGGATGCTTCAGGACTGCTGGCAGTCCGTGTTCCAAAGGTCTACAGACCAAGGTGATGTGCACTTCCTGAACTGGATTACAGAAACATAGAAACACAGAAACAGACTGAGTCAGAAGGGGTCTCCCGGGCCATCTAGTCTGACCCCCGGCTCCAGCCGGCTCCGTTCATGACATGCCCACCATGTGCATGTCTAACCTATCTTTGAACACCCTCACCGATGGGGCCTCAACCACCTCCTGTGGAAGCCCATTCTGTACCCTTGGGGTCCTAACCATCAGGAAGTACTATAGAAGTATTATAGAAGCCCTTGACTTTTGATATTCTCCAAATTTTGCAATACGCTTCTCAGCTCATAACCCCACCCCCTTAATACAAGTACGTATGTTCATTTTAGAATGCATAAACAATCAACCTTTAGAAATGTGTTCTGTAAGACAAAATAAGAATAAAAGAAGTATTTCTTATTTTGTTGCATTTTTAATCAGGTTATTTCTTTGTTTCATGTTATGCTTGGATTAAAACGTTCTTAATCTGGATTTTTTTGTTCACTGACTGTAGCGCCTTTTTTCTCTTTTGATGGAAAGGCAAGCCAGGACTTAATTAAAGAGAAAAAAGGACATCTACAAAATTTATTGTTTTTTGATTTTAAATATTTATATAGCAACTTTAAGGGCTATCCAACCCTCCCTAAGTAATTCACACATCATTCCCAATAGACATATCACTCCCTGCTCCCCAGAGTCTAGAAGGTCAAGTCCCCTAGTATCTACACGTACTAAGAGGGATTTGGGTGGGGAAGGATGCGGACCATCGTGTGCTCTGGGCTAGAGCAAACTACCAAATGCGCCATTTGGGTGCCATGGAAAGGGAAGGGAAAACTCAATACTTACTGCACAGAGGTAGCCAGATCCAGGAGTGGTGTCAAGGCCCAGAAGCAATCTTGTGATTGAGATCATGTAATCCTTCACGAATGACTGTAAACAAAAAGCAATGATTAGAGAGAGGACAAGCTGAGTGCTGCAGCATTTGATGAATTAGATCTGTCCATCCAAGTCAACATTTGAGTTGATAAAACAGGACCTCCCCCATTAACGGAGGGGCAGATATTTCTTAGATGTTTTTGGCGTAACTCCTTTTAAAATCTGAGTATGGAAAGTGCCAATTTTTAAGAGACATTCTTCCCCATGGGTGAGAGACCAGGAAATGCCTCTTCCTGAATCATCTAAAACTCAAAATAAATGAGCATTTTTTCTTTCTTTCTTTCTTTGGGACAACTAGGCAAATGCATGTAGAAGTACTCAATCGGTCAATCAACTCAAACTCATGCAGTTTATCGACCAGATCTTGACTGCAACACCCATTATCCCCAGCCAGCTTGACCAGTAGCTATGAGGTGAACTTTATTTTATGTTGCATGAGTGTAAAGCATTCCTTCAGAGAGAGGAACCCAATTCCCACAATTCCTGCAAAATATATTGATATAGTTTTATCCCAGTCGATGCCACAATTTCTACATGTGTTGACCAGCTACATCTGCAGAAAGCCAGTCCATTCATAGCTCAAGTAGGTCGACCCACTCACGTCTGGGATTCAGTGTGGCAGTTTGCAAAAGCAAGAAATGAAAGCACTTGGTCCCTCAGAGGAACCCAGGGGCTCTTGCTTTAGAAATGCTGGTAGAGATGGGCTACTTCTCCCCTTCTTCTGACCTGGTAAAGCAGCGTATCCAACATGCTAATGCTGAAAACTCTGCCAGCAGCAAAGGGGAGCCGGAACATGAATGCCAGGTTGGATCCGTTCTCCCGCTCTTTCTGTGGAGAGACAACAACACAGAGATACGAGCAATAGGACTGCCTTTCTGGATTGGAACGAAGTCCATGTCACCAGCAGCAGGTCCTCCTGGGTAGGAAGGCAACATCATCCACAAGGGGGCGCTGTTTCAATACCTAGCTGGTGAAAAGATCTTGGGCATCAAAAGCGGATGGAGACTCCACCTGAGAACCTGGGAAGTCTCCCTGGTTCAGAGGAGATCCCCCCTGCAGCAGCTACATTGCAGCCCCGAAATTTCAGAGCTATTTGGAAGGTCAAGAGTGAGGCGGCTCAGAACCCAGGAATATCAGCCCCGACACTAGTTTTCTTCAGGGCTGGGGATCTGCCAGGGGAAAGCAAGCGGAGAAAAGTGTGATTTCCACACCGAAGGCCACCTTGACTCGGGGACGGCAACGGCTGGAAGCAAGAAGTTCTGTTTCGTTACCTTCTCCAGTTTGGAAAGCGCCAGTGAGTAGCTGTCCTTGGCCCGGAACTGCATGAAACGCATGTTGGATGGGTGCGTCAATTCTGTAATGATGCTGAGGCTTGGGAAGAGCCTGGAAGAGAGAAGCATTTCATGGAAGCCGGAAGAGGCCTTCCGGACCAAGCTCTCCCATTCCCTGATACAGGAGACTTTGGCACAGTCCTAAATGGTGACATGCCTTCTTTGTGATGGTCGCGCCCCCAAAGAGAATCCCAAAATGTGGGCAGCTGTGTTGATTGGCATCATCATTTAACGACAAACATTTAAAAACAGAACATAAAAACTGGCATTAAATGACTCGAATAGCTAGGATGGGTTAATACCACTAAGTCTGTTAACGAGTTACGTGCTGTTCAGAGCTGCTAAGTGGCTTGACATGGAGGGCAATCTTAACCTGGTGCCGGAAAGATAATAGAGTCCAAACTGCAGGGGCCTTGGTCCAAGATTTGGAGGCCACCACGAGAAGGCCCTTTCTCCTTGTTGCCATCCACCGAGCGTCCCTTTGAGGTAATGATCAGAGCAAGGCTGCAGGTAGATGGCAGTTGAGAGGGGCGTTGTACTGCGGTCCTAAGCCATGCATAAGCGCATGCGCATTCCTCAGACACGGTCCTAAGCCATGCATAAGTGCATGCGCATTCCTCAGACACGTGCCTCTGCATGCATTGGGAGTGGAAAACAATCCGAAAATAGTCAGGACAAAGGTTAGTGTAGGAGGTTAGCATGCTGGGCAAGACTGGACAAGACTTCAGAAAGAAACACTTCATCTCAAATTTATCCAGCCTGTTCTAGCAGGTTTTGCCATTTGCAATTGCCGATTTTGCAACTGCCTTTTCAAGGGCAGGCCACCCCAGAAAGCACACTGCATCACAACCGTGGGACAGCTCACATGCATTCTCTGATTTTCTCCAACAGCCATTGCAATCTGCAACTTCAGAATGAGCCGGGGAGTCTGAGGGCAGTGGCAGAGCCGGATGCAAAAAGTCTGAATCAAGACATATCGGAATCAGGGAGTCCGGTGCGTCCTCCCTGTGAGCCCTGCCTTCATACACCAGGGACAGAAAGAACAGCCAGAAAGCTAGTAGTTCCCAGCAGCTCAGAGCTACACTGCTTCTGAAAATGGAGGTTCTGTTGCCCCATCACCAATTCGGAAGGGAAAGCACAGTGCACGCTATTTCGTTTTTTGACACGTCAAATGCCTAAAAGGCAGAAAAAGAACTGATTTGTCAAGCAAGAGCCCCTTTCCTACACCTCTTGGCACAATGGCTGGGAGACAGCTCCCCGTCCTGGACTGCCAGGGCGAGGCAGGGGGCTGGTGTGGGCACTCCCACACTTTCCGAGCATGGCTTGCCTCACCTGAACATGGTCTGGACGTTGACGATGGTCTTGGCGTCCGCCATGTAGTCCTCCTCCGCACTCATGGTGCTCTCCTTGTCCACCACGACCAGATTGTCGGCGTAGATGATCCCGCACTGCAGCAAGCTGTCGAGGCTGCAGGGAGCCGCAAAGAGAAGCGGTGATGCCCCATGGCTCTCGGGGAAAGGGAGCAGCTGATCCGGGGAGTCCCCGGCGAGCCCAGGATTTCTCGGGAAATGCTTTTCTGGTAGAATTTCTTCCTGAACCGTTGGAGGATTTCAGCTTCTCTACCAGCCAGATACTTAGAAGCCACCCCAAACAGTGTTCACAGGCAGAGTTGCTGCCCGGATGATCAATTGGTTACAGAAGATCAACTTAAAGCAAGAAAAACAAAGAACAGAGAAATAGAAAGAAAGGGGGAGGGGGGAGGGAGGAAAAGGAAAAAAGAAAGAAAGAGGGGAAGGGAGGAAGAGGAAGAGGAAGATGGAAGGACGGAAGGATGGAAGGACGGAAGGACAGAAGGAAGGACAGACAAGGCAAGACAAGACAAGACAAGTTTCTATTCCTCATGATACTGCTGATTGACTTTACACTCTGAATGCAAAACCACTTACTTATCAATGGTGCCTTCCATATAATAGACCATCGGGAAACAGCAGATGGCTTCCAGGAAGTGGTGATCAGGCCTGGCAAGGGAGAAAGAAAAAAGTCAGGAGCTTTGCTCTGCTGCCCTGTCATTGCCCTGGCCATGGGATGCCCCTCCTTAAATCTTTGCATGGCCCACCCTGTCTTTTCTGCTCCCGGGTCCTGCACAAGCTTCACGGCCTTACCAAGAAAGCCCTCCAGGGCCAACTTAAGGAATCTTTCACCAGGAAAAGGCATGATTTTAACAGGAATTGAACAGGATTTATATGAGACAAGTGTTTCCCAGGTGCTGTTTTGGAGAAAAATGGCACCTGAAAATGCATGGTTCCAATTTGCACATTGTTTTGCTGCTCCAGATGCATTCTTCACAAGGGGAATACTTAGGACAGACTAACCATCGCAACTGGAGCAGAGCACAAAATGGCCATTGAAAAGGATAGGACAGTCTCATGATTATTGAACTAACTTCTTTTTCAGAGGCATGGTGTGAGAAGCAGGTTAGGCAAGATCGTTTCCCAAAGGCAAATATTCCTTGCAGCTGAGTATGGTAAAGCATATTCAGCACTGACCATATTAGACATGGTGAAGCAGGGAAAGGAAAGACTAAGGTGCATAACTCTGGCAGAATTACAGTTATTTTTATATCTGCATGAAGGACTGAGCTGGCACAGTGCAGAACAGGATCCAGAGAAGTTTATCTGAGCAAGGAGAATTTGAGGAGTATCTTTAAGGGTCTCCATGATACTTAGGCTGTGCCAGAATTCTTATCAATCCCACAGAGGGTCATCTTCAGGTAGAACATTTTTCCTAATCTAGTTTTGCTTGCCAAAGTTGTTTTAGCTTTTATCCTGGACTGTGGTGTAATATCTCTCTCTCTCTCTCTCTCTCTCTCTCTCTCTGTGTGTGTGTGTGTGTGTGTGTGTGTGCGCGCGCGCGCGCGCACATGATCAACTGGGAAAAAGTACTTGCTTATTGTCCAGTAACAGCACGATGGGGTTTAACTCTTTGCGGGACCGATAGTAGGCACGGAGGGGGACAATGAAGTTATACAAGCCGTTCCCGGCAGTCTCAGCCGACACGATGATCAGCTTGTTCTTGAAGCCGTAGGCTTTGGCGTCTTCATAGCTGTTGTGCTTGCAGCCCTGGGGAGACACCGGAGAGATGGATTCATTCAGCCGTACACCCCAGCGCATCCGCGAGGCTCAGCACAGGTGAGAAATGTTTTCCCAAGTTTGCGCTTGGAGGGGGAATGGGTGGGTAGAGTCATCACTCTATTAACCAGTTGAAGGAGTTCATCGGTATTCATTCACATTTTATAGCACGGCTGCTAATTGTGTTCGAAGGAAGGCTCCAGAACTTTTTGTTACAATGCAAACGGTAGATGCAAAAGGAAGGGTAGGTGGCAGGGTCTGCAGTAGACCAGAAAGGGTTAAAGCCCCTCTCTAGGCTTTCATCTAGATCAGCACCGCACCCCAACAAAAACATGTTACATTTGAAGTCTCTGTGCACCAAAGATGATGGCATGAAGTGTGTTTAGTTTGGGCCTGGGAACTCCCAGTTAAAACCTCAGACCTGCTGTTAGGAAACTGGGTGACCCAGCCACTTGGTATGTTCGTATCATTGACCGAGCACCCTTTATTTATTTAAAACATTTCTATGCCGCCCCCATCGCAACAAAGCCTCGGGGTGGCTCACAAGGAATACATAAATGCATACATAAATAATGATAATATAACAATTAAAAAAAATCGTTTAAAAACCCCCGGTGCATTCTCGGCTAAAAATGTCAAAATCCTAATTAATTCAATAATTTAACAATTAAAATAAGTTTTAAATAAAAAGGTCTTTGCCTGGCGCCGAAAAACAAATAACGACAGCGCCAGGCAGAGCTCTCTGGGGAGCGCATTCCATAGATTGGGCACCACCGCAGAGAAGGCCCTCGTCCGGGTGCTCACCCTCCTAATATCATTCACAGAGGGTTCCCGGAGAAGGGCATCCGTTGCTGATCTCAAGGGGCGGGAGGGCATATATGGGCGCAAGTGTTCCATCAGATATTTATACTTCTTTATACAATTTAGCAATGACTTTTAAATATATTTATCTATCAACAGGGGGGTTATTTGGGGTAGGCTGTGCCAATATGGGGACAGAAAGGATTTCACTGCATCTGAAGACAGTCCTAAGGGTCTTGATCTGTGAAGGGTTCTCTTTTTCTCATTCTACCCCTGCAAAACAGAATTCTAGCGCAGAAAAGAACGAAGGGGGAACCTGTGTCTTGATTTCCCAGTTGTCACTCGCATGGGGCTGTCTAGGCCGTTCCTGGGAACTATCCATGGTGCTGAACTTCCTCCACATCGATTCACCACCATGCTGTGCCATGTAGGGCACCCGGGATGTTGCAAAGGAAAGTTAGGCTTCAGTGGGATGAGCAGACGCCAAGACTGGAGTCCTGTGTCCAGTTCTGGGCACCAAGATTTATGGAAGATGCAGAAAAATTAGAAAGAGTGCAGAGAAGGGCAACAAAACTGATCCAGGGTTTGGCTACACTGCCCTGTGAAGAGAGACTCAGAACTGGGCATGTTCAGCCTTGAGAAGAGAAGACTGAGGGGGGATATGAGATCCCTCTAGAAGGACCTCAAAGGCTGTCACAAAGGGGAAGGTCAAGATCTCTTCTGGCTGATGCCAGAATGTAGGACACAGAATAATCAAGTCAAGTTGTGACAACCCAGGTTCAGGCTGGACATCAGGAAAAGCTTCCTTGCTGTCAGAACAATACTATGGTGGAACCAGTTGCCAGGAGAAGTTGTAGGCTTTCCATACTTGAGACATTCAGGGTGGAACTGGACCATCATCTGAGTGGGATGGTGTAACAGGGTGTCCTGCCACAGCAGGGGTTGGACTAGATGGCCTTCTTGGCCCCTTCCAACTCTACTGTTCGATGATTCCATGATTCCCTGGCCATGTGGGAGCCCCTGTCACACACCAGCGGCTGGCTTGCCGATCAGGACATGTTTGACCCCACAAGTCTCTCCACCCGATCACCATCTCGCTGGGAGGAAGGACAAGAAGCAGATGGGAAAGAGCAGCGTGAGATCTGGGCACACCCTTGAGGGTATTTTTGTACATATACTAAAAGTATGCAGGAATCACACCTCAGGGCCTGAAGGAACCCACTGGAGGTCTGACTGCCTTGCTTCCCTCCATCTCACCCCAGTTCATGTAGCTCCAGATAGCGAACTGCTGGAGCAGTTCCCCAGAGATCTGGGAAATATCTGAAGGAAGTCTTTTTCCATAAACACCTGCCCAGACCCCAAGATCATCTGCAGAGCTCCTTCTCCAGGACCCCTCCTTGAAAGAGTCTAGCATGGCGGCTACCAGGAGAAGGGCCTTCTCGGGGGTAGCCCCCTGTCTGTGGAATCTGTTCCCCAGAAAGGTATGTCTAATAACTCTTTATTCTTTTCAGTGCCAGGCTAAAACCATTTTTATTTTCCTGGTATTTTAATATTTGGATGGTTTTATTATATATTTTGTATCTTGTACGCTGCTCTTTTATCCAAGTGCTATTGTGGTATCACTATTGTTTTTTGTAAATCACCTTGAGATTTCATTGTAATATTAGACCATATATAAAAGTTTCAAATAAATAAATAAATAGCTGTTTCTAATATAAGAAGAATATCAAAGCACCCACAGCAAGCCATGGAGGGTCACTTTTCCCAGGAAAATTACACTGCTCTCCCGCACAATTCTCCCCACCCCCAGCCTCGAAAAGTGAGTGAGCCATAAGGGAACATCAAAGCTGGCAAGATGAAAGGGGAGAATGTGGGAGGCAGCGAGACGAAGTGGAGATCTGAGAAACTGGATCCACTGGGGAGAAACTCAGGTGGGCAGGGGGTGAGGGAGGCAGACTCCCTGCTTGCTTCAGTTGGGTGGGATGTGGGGGCTGCCGTTTGATCCACAGCCAACACGCCAGATGTTTCCACACGATAGCTCAACCCTGCCCGCCAGCCAAACAGTTCCTCTGCACCACGGACTTGGTTAAAGTCGCCTGACAAAGAGGCATATTTCGGAGAACATGTGAACTGGCACATGCGCATCCATGCTCAGAGCTGAGTTTTGCAGTGCTTTAATCCCCAAGGAGAGGGAGCTGAGAGTCATGCTCTGAAATGCTGTGGCGCTTACCTTATCCAGGCGTAAACAGCAGAACGGAGCTTTAACAGGCAAAAGGTGGCACAATGTGGGAGAACTTCCAATGTAGGGAGAATTCGGAGGGTAGCCTTTCACATACCTATGGGGGAAAATGAGATGGATCAAGATTTGGGCTGCCCTCGTCTGGGGGGAAAGCAGCCCCTGCTCCCCTTCCCAGTGTTGCTTGGAGCAGGGCATTCTGGGAAAGCTAAAATGGCTGCTTGAGCAACAAGTCTTCATGAGCTCTGGTCACTTCGCCCCGTGCCCCCTCCAAAGCATCAAAGCTCTCTCTCCTCAGCCTATTTTCACAACCTACCAATAGGGTGAGAAAAGTTTACCTAGGAAGGTACGTTATCTCGGCTCTCCCTTCACTTTAAGAAGCCTTTTTGGGGCCATTCCAAACAGCTCAGCCATCACAGAGGTGTCTGCAAGATGGCGCTGTGGAACCACCCAACGTATGAGAGCGTCTTGCTTCCTCCCCCAGCTGCTGAAGGCAGATCCGGGCGGCAACAAACGGCAGAAGGAGGCCACTCAGCAATAGAGTGGAAATGGAGCAGAAACTTAATGGGAGGTTAATTTATGTAAATAGCACATTAGGGCAGGACATAATACTGAATTTGCATGGCAGCCCTTGCAGAGAGTGGTGTGTGGTGCTCTCGATGGGTCTTTGCAGCTACAGTACACAAAGACGGTGCCTTTTTCTGACACTCCATCAAGCACCACGGACCCCCGACCCTTTTCTTGGAGGGCTTCTTGTGGAATCAGACATTCCACACTGTTGTGCAGATGACAAGTCCCCGCAAGGCCTTGAAGACATGTTGTCTCAGGTGAGATCTTTGGATGGGGCTTCATTAGAGATGCACTTTTATCACCACACGCTTAAGATACATAAAAACTCTCTGAGCTTGGCGCTTATCTAGATGGATGTTTTCTTCGTTGGGAAGTGTGGGGAAGGAGGCTGGGAGATGGATCACAAGTCCTCAGTTCCAGGCTCTTCTCCTTCTCCTCCCCAACAGCCCTTCATCATCATCATCATCATCATCATCATCATCATCATCATCATGTATAGGGGACAGAGTCACCCCATACATAAATAATTAACTTATTTAGCTAGGATTAAAGCTGCTGTCCTATCCAAATTTACTTGGGGATAAATCCTACTGAACTTAATGTAATTTATCTCTGAGTAAGCACACCAAGGTTAAAACAAACTGTAATTTGTGAAATGACTGAAGTTGGAGCAAATGGCAGAATCTCACATTTGCACAAAGCATGGAACTTCAGATTTGTGCAAACTTCCTGAGCTTAAAAAATGCGCGACTGCAGCCCATTTTAAAAGTGAAAGAAATCAGATATCATATGCATAATATTGGTGGGAAGAATGAGGGGGTGGGAAAGAGACTAAACAACCATAACCTATATGCACAAATCATAGGAGCCGAACAATCATAACTGAAAATAACAAAAAAATTGTCTGTTTGATGTGTGCAAATCAAGCAACTTTCGCAGAAAACTGTAATGCTGCTACCAAACTATATAAAATGGACAACACATGTTCTTTGTGCAGCAAGGAATGAGTGAGAGAATTAAAAATAGAGAGAGGATGAAAGAAACCAAAATATTTATCAAGGGAACCTGATGAATCTGGAATTACTTTAAGGCTGTGCTAATGCAACCTCATATTTAAAACAAAATATTTTAAACAGTGCAAACCAATTTACTTTACATCTTAAACTGTTTCCTATTGGAATTTTTTAAACTTACTTTTAAGTTTGCATAGTGGAGTTTTAAATTGTGTTTGATTGCACTTGAATTTTCATTGTATCTTCCATATTTGATTAATTGTGAACCGCCCAGAGAGACTGTGACTATTGGGCAGTATTGGAATGGAATGGAATGGATGAATAACTGTCTGATTTGGCACAGTCCAGGAACCAGTTTGACCCCCCCCCCCCCCATCTGTTGTGGTTTGAACCCAGCGTGAGGCATGGAAGGTCCACTGACTCGATCACAGTAAGGCCTTCTTCATCCGACTGCGTCATCTCGTCCTCGGATTGGTCGCTGAGCATGTCACATGGCAAGAGGGAACAGCTATCGGCCACCTCCAGGACCGGGGCGATGCTGGGCCTCCTCTTCCCGGAGCCGTTCTCCGCCGGCAGGGTGAGCTTGCTGCTGTTGATTGGGCGACACTCTGTGTTCTGCAAGTCCATGGCTACCGTGCCTGAAACAGAGGAATTACTACTGCTATTATTCATAATAAACAACAACAATTTATTAGTCTGGCATAAGGCATCAGCTCTTCATCCACTGCATGACCGGGACAGGTAGCCAGGAAAGGCGATTGCAGGCCAGTTGCTCTTGTACAAAAGCATCTTGTCTTGAAGAGGCCCTCCTCTTCACCGTGCCAGGACAGGACGTTAGGCAGGTGAGTACAAGCGACAGGGACTTTTTGTGGTGGCCCCATGACTGGGGAATTCCCTCCCCGTAGAGATTCGCCCAGTGCCATCTTTTCCCATTCTTCCACAGAAGACGAAAAGAAAAACAGGGTGCTGTTCCGCCAAGACACCAGTTGTTGTTTTGTCTCGCAGCCGTTCGCCATTTCTGTGCGTCTGGGACTGATAATCTGGTTTGTGTGATTTTACGATGGATGTTTCTGCATTGCATCTTCCTGGCTGGTGTCCTGGGAACTGCTTTACTATGTAATGGAGCAGAAGGACTTAAATATCCGATCAGCAGCATGCACATATCTACACAGAAGTTCAGTGGAGCTTACCCCAGGGCAGGGGACGAAAGATCCCTTCCAGGGACAGGGGTTCTCATGCATCCAATCCAGGGAAGCTAACAGCAGTTTCTATTCCCTCTGCACTTCTTCCAGATCAGATCCCCCTTCCTGCCCCCCGGCAAACCCCTTTCATCCTCTCCGAGGCAGAAGCCCAACCTTGGAGAGGTTTCCCATGTCCATTGCATTTAGAGTCCCAGGTCGTGGTAGACTATCGGAAACCATGACCTTGTCTAATCTTTCCACAGAACAAAATAACTACCCCACTGGGGGAGACTCTAGGTCCATGAGCTTCACACTAAGACTCAGTCTGCGGGCTCTCTTTAGCTTTTATGGCTTTCCAGAGACTACCTAACTTTTGACATTTTCCTGGTTCCTTTAAAACCACCCAAGCTTCTGCACCCTCACTACACTTTTTCAAATGCCAGGGCACAAGCATTTCTTGACCCGATGGGCATGAATTGACTGCAGGCTTTCTTGTCAACAGCAGGCTAAACATGAGCCAGCAGTGTGATGCGGCGGCCAAGAGGGCAAATGCCACCCTTGGATGCATAGCCAGAAGTGTGGCTTCTAGATCAAGAGAGGGATTACTGCCCCTCTGTATGACTCTGGTGTGTCTGCAACTGGAGTACTGTGTTCAGTTCTGGGCTCCACATTATAGGAGAGACATCGCCAGGTTAGGATCGATCCAGTGCAGGGTCACAAGGATGGTTGCTGGGTTGGGAGGGATGACATTGGAGGAGAGATGGAGGGAACTGGGTCTCTTCAGCCTGGAGAAGAGGAGACTCCGAGGGGAACTTTGAGTGACTTGTAGGGATGTGAGGGGATGTCATGTGGAGGAGGGCAGGGACCTGTTCTTCCCTGCAGTGGAGGGCAGGATGCGGTCCCATGGGGCTAAGCTCAAGGCACCAAGAAGTCAGGAAGTACTTCCTGGTGGTTAGGACCCCTAAGATGTGGAACGGGCTTCCACGGGAGGTGAGGGTGTTCATGGAAAATGAGACAATCACATGTTGGGGATTACATGAGCAGAGCCGGCTGGAGCCGGGGGTCAGACTAGATGGCCCAGGAGGCCCCTTCTGGCTCGCTCTGTTTCTGTTTCTAATTCTCTTGGAACATTGGCAGATGTTTTTCTAGAAAATGGCTGGGTGGAGAAACACACTTTTTAGGTATTGCCAACCCAGTCCCTTCCAGATGGTTTGGATCATGACTCCCATAATCTATAACCACTGGCTCTGTTGGCTGGGGCTGATGGGTGTAGTAGTCCAAAACCTCTGGTGAGCACAAGTCACCTACCCCCACCTTCCATATTCAACAGCATTTAAGTGCCCAGCAGGAACGATGCCCTGGGAGAAAGAGGAAAAGTGCATTTTGACATGTGTATTTTTAAATAGAACTTTTCCGAGCGACTTGCAGGATGTTCTTTATTTCGCAAAGTGATGGTAGGTGGCTTAATTACTGGGGTCACATAAAGCAATATTCTTCAACCCATGGTGCCAAAGCTTATGAGTAACTGTCTCTGCTTGGGGTGTGAATTAAGGCTGCCTTTGAAAGCCAGCAAGTGGTTCTAATTGGAGATCCTGGGGAGATTAGAAGTGGAAGACGAAAACGAACAATCCTTGACCCTGTTCAGAGGAGGAAACAGGAAAGAAGCAACCCTTCAAAGAGCTTTCAGCATGGGCTGAAGACAGGTAAGATTGTATAAGGTCGCAGAACACGGCCCTGGCACACTGCGAAAGCTGGCAAGAAAGGAAATGCGTCTGATCCTGTGAAAACTAATTTCAGACTTTCAGACTTCGTGGCGAGCCCCTGAAAAATTGCAAATACTGCCTAAATGCTGCCCAAATTTGATTTCTTTCTTTGTCATCCTATGCAATGAAAAAAAAGAAGGTATAGCCTTATGAAAAGAAGTCATCCGATGCAGAAAAAATACATTGCTTTCTTCCTCTAATTGGCAGGGTTCATCTTGGAGAACGACCTTTTCTGGACATTGCAAGAAATTTTTGAAACTATAATCCCTGAAGAAGGTCCTAAATATATGGCCAATACACATTGGGCTACTTTAGGAAATGAAACTTCTTATTCTTCAGGATTTTGAGATGTTGAATCTTTATATATATATCTGTTGTTGTTGGTGTTGTTGCATTGTTTTGAATGCTTCTGATAGAGGAAGTGCAGTAATCCTACATTAACAACCCCACCCCCCTAGAATTAGTCACATTTGGGGTCATTTTTGACCCCCAGATGGAAGTGCCTTGGACAAGAAACTTGCTGCCTCTGAAAAGCCTCTGCTTTGGCTGATTTCCCCTCCCTCCCTTTGAGGTTTCAATCAGTGTAAGAATAGTGCTCAATTCTCAGCAAGTACAGTATGTATGTATGTATGTATGTATGTATGTATTTATTTATTTATTTATTTAACACTTTTCTATACTGTCCCATACTTAAAAGTCTCAGGGAGGTTTACAACGAATTAGTCCAAAAATGAAAACAAAAATCTAGAATAACAACAATTGTGCAAACCCAATGTGAAAAAGTAAACCCTAAACTAAAACTAAAACAAATTAGCAATTTAATTTGTTAATTAGCCAGTGGGGTGTCATGGTGAAGAGCGTGGGACTGGGACTCAGAGGATCCGGGTTCGAGTCCCCGCTCAGCCATGGAGCCAACTGGGTGACTTGGGGCCAGTCACAGACGCACAGCCCAGCCTACCTCACAGGGTTGTTGTTGTGGGGATAAGATGGAGGAGGAGAATGATATAAGCTGCCTTGAGCCCTTTGTAGGAAAAAGGCAGGATATAAATTGAAAAATTAGTTAATTAATTAAAATGTCGGGAGAATAAAAAGGGTTTCACCTGATGCCAAATAGATAAAAGCGTTGGCGCCAGGCAAACCTCTCTGGGGAGCGTGTTCCACAATCGGGGTGCCACCACAGAGAAGGCCATCTTCCAGGTAGTCACCCTCTTAATTTCTTTCAAGGACGGCTCCCGGAGGAGGGCCTCTGAGTCATATCTCAAGGGGCAGGAAGGCACGTAGTTTGCTCAGGTTTAATCCTTCCTGCAAAATGAGAAAGCTAGAGAACCCTTATGGCTAATGGGCAGGATAGAAATTTACTAAATGAATAAATAAAAGCTGCAGAACAAGGTTTGGCCCCTTTCATTTCTTTCTCAGCATAACAGTGGTTTGGCTTGCTCTCGTTACAAAATCACAAGAAAGCTTTCCCTCTGTGGATTTTAATTCTCTATGCGGGACGTTTTAGCTGGGAATCTGGGCTTTCACCAGCACGAATAAGGATCACATGGCATCTCTCTTGCGTCTACTTCAGCTGCAAGGGCGTTGTAGGTGTGAAAGGCCTTCCCACGCACAGCCATCTGGCGTGTTAGGAGACACGATGCTGGCCACTCCTATGGCACAGCGCTATTTTCTATATATAGGAAATAGTTCGTACAGAAGTGTTCAAAATGGGACACTTGTGTGAACTGCGCAGGGAAATTCCACCGCTTCTGCCACTCCATCCCAAGATGGTAAAATGGCATACAGATAGGAAAGATGCGAGATGCTTACGGCTGGGAAAATTGCGTGTCTGTGGGAGCCAGGGGAAACCATTTCATCCAATTCCATCCAAGGGAGCAAAAATTCTCCAACAGTGCTCATCATTCCTATTTTAATTAGTATTAGTAATTCGTATTTTAATCGTTGAGCTTAGTGTCAAATTCTGATTTTAACTTGACTCAATGCCTTTTTCATAGGTTTAGCTTAATGTTAAAAATAGTCTAATGTTTCTTATGCAGTGCTTTAAATTGGTTGCATGTTGTTTTCCTATCATTTTCATTTTAAATGTTAATGCTCTATTTTTATAGATTTTAAAAATGTTATGTTGTTTTAATGGTCGGGTAAGTCACTCCGGGAGCTGAAGCGTGAGAGCATGAAGTGGCATATAAATTGAAATAATGAAATAAATAATAATAGTAGTAGTGGCACAAAGACCGTTTTCTTTTTTTTTCTTGAAATCTTCTTTCCCCTTCAGTTGCTGTTGCATTAGCAAACAAGCTGCATGTTGCCTCCTTTAGAGTTTTCCAGACCTAGCATGATTCCAAACTGTGTCCACAGGCAAAAAAGAGAACTGGAGGAGTGCCAAAGTTTTGGAAACAAATTCTGCTAAGTCACTTCCATTTTCTAGACTGGGGAGGAAAAAAGACTCACCATAAACCATTTTGAGAAATTTTAAACTAAGCCTTACAGTTCTGGGCAGCATCGAACATGCCAACTCATGCTTTGGAAATGGGCATTGCTTGTTGCTGATTCTGTCCTCTAAACTTTGACTGATAAAGTTATGCAGCTGGAGCCTTTTATAATTCTCTGGCATCACCAGCCATGTTTTCCTTCCCTCGAGCTGAACACCACCTCATTTTCTTGGGGAATTAATCATTCTGTCCCTCACTGTTTATACACAGCCCTTCAAGGAAGGCAAGGTACATCAACAAGCAAATCACCCTTTGAAAATCGATTGCTGTTGTGCAGGTGGAGAATAAACCAGAGCAGAAGGTAAGGGTGCTGGCAGTGAAACAGCGACACTTCGCTAGATGTTTTGCTTCCTGCCGTGTGTTCAGGCAGGAGAGAAACTAGGTGGTTTGTCACCTCAATGCAAGGGCTCCACGTGCTTTGGTTGGGGTGGGGAGGAACCCGCCTGGTTTTTGCCCCCTCCTCCCAAGTGGCAAGCTCTCATGATGCAGGAAAGAAAGCATCGGATCCACAGTGCTCCCAGATGACCAAGTTATGTGTTGCGATGAGTGTGAGAGAGCTCTGAGCACTCTCACACTCATTGCACGCACCTGCCCAGACCTAGGGTCTTCCTCCCTGCATGGCCTGCATTCATTGCTAAGCCGGGCAGCTGTTCTTTGTGCTTTAAGCACACTCTCTGGCTCGCTACACATCCTGTCAGCTGTCAGCTGACTATAAGGGGCCAATCCCTGCCCACAGGGCGCTATAAAGCTCTAGCTTTGATCCCCGCTCTTCTACCTGAGCAGTCTGTCTCTGCTATGAAGACACATCCTATATGCCTTCTCTCACCTGGTCCAGCATCCTGTACCCTCACCACCTGGGGTGACCTCACTGGACTTACCCCCTGCCATTTGAGAGCCAGCATGGTGTAGTGGATAAGAGTGAAGGACCAGAAGAAGCACTTCATGAATGGGAATCCCCAGAAAGTTAGGAACTAGGAGGCCTAGAGCTGGTTGCAAAATATAGGACTAACTTTTGCAGAGTTGCTGAGAGCAGCTGGGGGAAACTCACCCATGCTGGCGATGATGCTGTGAACCGGCAGCCTGGACGGCCCATCGTAGATGCCTCTCCCGGCAAACCCTTTCCTTTTTTGCTTCTCCTCCTGCTTGAAAATGAAAGCAGAGTTCTCTTCCTTGGTTATGTTGATGTAAAAGCACGTGTCAGAGGCAGCCATAATGTGTCTTGGTCCTGGGTTGAGAAGGATGCTTTTATTCTCTTCCCTTCTCACGCCCATCAAGCAAACACCATACCTGAAAGGAGCATCAAAGGACCTTTGACATACGCGCCTTTGGCAGGACTGAGTGGTGCGTTGTCACGCGTCATAGGCAAGGAGGAATGGAAAGGGAAGCAGAAAACAGCGGTCAGTCGACTGACTGACTGCAGGGGCTATTTAAAATTCTGCTTTTTCACCCAGCAGAGCTTGAGTTGTCCTAGGTCCCCTTCCGAAGTTGCTCATCCGTGTGTCATCAAATCATAGGATCATACAACTGGAAGGAGCCTAGAAGGCCATCAGGTCTGACCCCCTGGGTCACGTCTCCATTCAGGATCCCCAGAGGAGCTGGCCTAAAGCACCCAGGAAGGCACTAAGCTAGCATGCGGAATGATGGAGTCCAGGACATTCAGGACCCTGGACAGATCCCCCGAGTTAAAACTCAGTCAGGAATGGGTGCTGTCCCAGACTTTCCCTGCCTGCATTAACTCCACCCTGTCTGAAGAACCGTATATTTCCGAAAGAGCCACGGCCTCATTCTACAAGTGCTGGGTCCTTTGCAAGGGAAAGGGTGAGAAATGCATCCTCCAATCACACAGATTTCTGTGGATTTGCTGCAAGGCCAGAGAATGAAGCTTGGCACATCTGGCTGAATGCACAGCGAATTGCTCGGGTGCCCAAAGGCCTCCTACACAGCCCTGCAGCGCAATGTGAGAAGGCCTGTAGTAGGTACGATTCTGGACTACGTACATGCGCTTGCTGCCAAGGGAGCTTTGGCGAGCAGGCACCCCAGCAATAAAATCAATCCATCCATTTCCTGAGCCTGATTCAAGGGGCTGGTTTTCCCCACATGGTTCGGGGCTGCGATACTTGATGGAACTCCTCTCCCAGCTGCAATCTACCTGGACATTATGCTCAACGTTTGAGGAATTCCTCCAAGTGCCACTTCTGGGGGAAGCTTGGCTGGTGGCAACGAAGATGGCCTTCTCTGGGGTAGCCCTCAAATGATGGCACGATCTCCCACCTGCTCCCAACAACACTATCTTTTTGGCAGCAGGCTAAGGCTAAGGCCATGCTGAGACACTGAATAGCTTGCCAGGAGATCTTCCCTGGGGTTTCAGGAGGCTGAACTATCCCGCCCTGTCCTCCCTGCTTGATTTGTTAAAATTTGGTTGTAAATGTTCAATGGAATGCCAGAGTGATTTTATTGTTACTTATATTGCATATTGCGTATCATATTTTATTAATTGCTGTAAACCACTCAGAGAGCTTTGGCTACTGGGAGGTAAAGCAGAAAAATGATGACCAATTATTAATAATAATGGGATGCTAATGATGCGTCAGGACTTGCGCTTGCAATCCGATTTCTCCCGTGTCCTGTTTTCTAACCCTGAAACTTGTCAAGCACAGAGGGCATGCCTGGGATGCAGCCCTGCCCACGCCCATCCCATGGGAAGCCCAGCATTTGCTCCCCTCTCCTCTTTCCTGCATCCTTGGAAGACCTGCTGGAGAAACCCCGAGAGGGGCTCTTTGCTTCCTACAAAAGGGGGAAGGCTCGCATGAGTTAACCCTTTATGCTTCTGAGGAAGGATGGCTTTGGCAAGCAGGCCCTTTCCCCCAGGAACGTCTCCCAGATCCAAGCAGCAGTGCCCCATGCTCACTTTTTGTGGGCATGGAAAGACGCGTAGGTGAAGCTCTTCCCCTCGTACTCCATGAAGAACTTGCTGTCTCCCATGCGGATGTGGTAGACCTCGTTGCCGGAACAACGGCCGTACATTCGCTGCCACTGCTCGGGGGATTCCTGGCCCTCTCTGGAATTGGAGGCAGACAGACAGACAGACAGACAGACAGACAGACAGACAGAGTTGATTTCAGAATCTGCGGCATTCTTTGCAGCTGAATGCTCTTTTCCCACGTTTTCCTGTCTTTGCCCCCAGCACTCAGTCTTCATCCTTATTAGGCTGTTCAGGGGTTCTCCCTTCTTAGGATTTTCCCTAAAAGGTTTTTCTATTCCTGAGAATTTTGGCTTTCCCGCCAGTGCTACCTGGATGATGCCTTGTTTATGTTTATGTGTGTGCTACCACTGGGGATCCTAAGTCAGAAAGGGTTTGCTGCTATTATCCAGAACAGACATCATTTGATTTAATTTTAATTCATTATGAAACAAGGGGCAGTAAATGGATAAAAATAAAGTTTATCCTCACGTTTAAAACATTCAAGTCATAAATAGACCAGCATATTAACTAGTAAACATATCTATATATAAATATATTAGACTAATATGCATGTTAAAATATATAATATATTGTATAAAATATATAGATGGCCGTGTGTGTGTGTGGGTGTGTGTGGGTGGGTGTACATACACGGGGGGGGGCATCTCTCCATCTTTGGCCTTAATGGTCTCTCTCCATCTATTGTTGTCCTACTTGGCAATAATGAGTATCCCAGACTTCTTCAAACAACCTCCAGCTATTCTGGACTTCAGCTCCCATCAGCCCCAGCCAGCAAGTCCAATAGCCGGAAGCTCTGTGATGCAGGGGAGGCTGGGGAAGCCCGAGCCAGGCAGCTACTCACTGTCCTCGGGAAGTGTGAACGAGGAGGGTGATGAGCGTGGAGGTTGCCGGACACACACAGTTCAGGGCCAGCATGGCGTACTTGCACTCCTCTTCGCAGACCACGTGATCTGAAATGGGAAACAGCCCTGCAATCGTCCCTGGAGCCCAGTGGAAAACAGCCACGGTGCCCCTGGCCCCTGGCGCCGTCCCCATTCTACTCCAGACCCAGGCCTGGGGAAGCCAGGTGTCCCTCTGCAGGCCTGCCCCCCACCTGCAGCCACCGCCTCGAGCCTTGCTTCCCACGCATCCCCACAGCCCTTCCCACTTAAGCTCCTCTCCTTTCCCCATCCACTGCTGCCTTTCCAAGAAGCCCATGAAAAGACGTGCAAAACCACTGCTCTAGCAACCGTCTCCCTTCGCATTTCACCGGGAGCAATCCAACAGCCTCTCCCGTGAGCTGATACGTGCCGGTTTGTTGCTCACCGGGAATGTGTGAACAGGGAAAAAGTGGTTTTGCTGTGCTTTGTGAATGATCAGGCCGCTTTCAGTCCACCCTCTGCTGATTTCGGGACTCCGATTCGGCATCCTCCACACACACACACACCCTCTGTAACACTGAAGTCCTCTGGAAACATTGGGGTTCTGCAGTGTTGCAGCTTCAGGGCAAAGCAGAGTGTGCCTGACTCCACTCTGCCAGGAGCTGGTATAAGACGTCTTACCAGGTCCAGCTCACACAGCAGGTTCAGGAACGAGCAGTCCTCAGTGACCAGCAGGTTGCCTTCATTTTCACGCCTCTGCTTTGCATTGTAAGGATGCCTCAAAACCCCATCATTCCACCAAAAACATGCAGATGATTGCACTGGGAATGGGTGTGTTTAAGCCACTATTTAAAAATCAGGGAAGTATCACTTCTCAAAGTTAAAAGTGGAAGGGAACAGCTTGTTTTAGGAGCTGCTCAGTGGCTGGGTTCACACAACACAACAAGCATGGTTTTTTACCATGATCTCCCTGACAGACGATCCAGTGGTTTCTCCTTTATCATGGTTTCCATCCTCCCCACTCAGTCCTCCCATTGCAGGCATGTATCCCATCAGCAACTGTGCCTGAAATTCCACCCCAAGGTGCATCACAGCTTGCTATGTCACCTGCCTCTTCCTCATTGGGCCACACATAGAGGCTGGAGGGCTGGAACAGCTCCTGCAGATGCCACTCTTTCCAGGGGACTCTATGGTAGTGGCATAGGAGGACCATGGAAACCAAGGGCCAAACTTACCATGGTAGAATACCATGGTTTGGACAACGCATACATCTTAGGAGACAAGATGTTAGGCAGCTTCCTATTCCCGGTAAACTTGAATCAATGATTCTGAGCTCCACACCACATGTTGGCAATGTGATCGCCAGACGCATTCCCTCATCCCCACTCCTACACCCTTGTCTTAGGAACCCCATCATGAAGCTGTAAATAAAAGGCTATAGACAGCAAATCTGGCAGGACTCTTAACTCAGGTTTGAAGCATGTTTTCTTGTAGAAAAAGCAAGCAAGCGGGGCAGGGCTTTCAGGGAAAAGGGCCTCATTAATTCTCCTTGCTGAACACAAGGCCGTTGCGATGCCTCTTTCAGGCTCCAGCAGCGTCAATGCTATTTCCATCCATTTCTCTGTCTCCAGTTTATGTAAGCACAATAATTGGCCATTCCTGTTCCTTTCTGCTCCATTTTGCCATTTCTGCGGAGCGGGGATTGGGCTCCATGAGGGGTCCAGCTGCTCAGCAAAGCTCACAACGGGGTGCCCAGATCTGATTGGTTTAACATCAAGATTGCTACCCGCCAGCTGGGGATGATTAGGCCCGGGAGATGAAACATACCAAGCTTGCATCCCACACCATCAACAGTGCTTTTGGCTAAGAATTTATTTTTTCCAAAAAAAGGGGTGTGTGTTGGAGCAAGGGGGGGATCTATCCACAAAACAAATGAAAATAAACAAGAGATGCAAACAGGAAATAAAAACCGTGAAGGAGTTACAAAGATGGACCACCAAAGCACAGAGGAATCCAGGAAAGGAGAGTGGAAAGCCCACTTGTTGTGGTGCTGCAGCAACCACAATTCCCATCATTCCAAACCATCATGCCCAGTGAACTGTAACGCCAGGGATGGCAGTTGCCATCCAATGCATCCAGAGGGGTGGAAGGGTGGAAAAGTCTGCCTAGCAGCATCTGACTGGAAAATTTTGCAGTGTCTTAAAGACATTGGCATAAGATTCATGGCCTTTGGCACTGCCTGTTCTCAGAAGGGGGCTTTCTCCTTCCCCATTGCCTGAATATGGCCCTACACATCACCAGGATGTTACCCTGCAACACGTAACGCCCCAAGGGAAACGGAGTCTTGTGGGGGGATCCTGGGGGGGGGGCACCTCCAGGAAACCTCCTTGCAAAGCGACAATTCCCCTAGGGCTGCCACCTCCCAAATCTCATCAAATCTTTGAGGGGAGGAAGGGGTTGCGATGCTTCCAGATGTACGTGCCTGACATCTTTGGAACTGGGCTGTTCTTCCCTCCCCTGTTCTTTCAGCAAACTACCCAGCAGACAAGCCAAGGGTTGAGAAAACAGCTTACCAGCAAATTTGACATGGAATTTATTCTCTGGCTTCAGGATCTGGACGTAAAGGGGACAATTCGGGGCAAAGTCTTTCACAGCCCAGGCCCTTAGAATGGTCTGATGGTCCTAGAAAAGGAGAGACAGATCATCAGGAAGGTGTTTAATGCATCGTGCTATTTGCACCGGTCTCTTTGAATCCTTTGGCTTTCCAGAGGCGTTGGATTTCAAGCCTGCATTGGCCGGGGGTGGCAGCCCAATGCTTCTAAAGGGCGCTAGGTCTTTTTCGAGATTGCAACGTTGTCCAGAAGTGGATTTCAAAATAACCATCAATAACACTTTCAGCACCTGGTCTTTCCAAATGAATGCACCTTGGCACCTTTTAAATGGAAAAAGTGTACCTGAAGAGCTTTCCAATGCCATCCTAGGCACATGTCCACAAAAGGAAGTCCCACAGAGTTCACTCGGACTTAATTCCAGGTAAGTGAGAGCAAGACTGTAAAATCTTCTTACTGCTGACTTCCTCTACCCACCCACAAAAGCTGATGTTTTGGTTGCTTGGATGTGGGCAGTCATTACTTCAGAACTTCCATCCAAAACTGTCACGTACTGATCGAGATTATGTGCCAAACTTTCCTGCTGAGTGCCTTCAGATCGTCTTCAGGTTATGGAGACGCTGTGAGCGAAAGCCCTCTAGCACCGAACACAGTCAAACGCAAACTACACACAGGGGTGGTTCTTATATTCTTTCTGAAAACTTGCTCCCAGGTTGATGGATCAATGAAAACACTGCACACCGGAGTTCCCAGCTGCAGTCAAGGCTGGCGACAGGGACCAGCGTGAGTGTGCCAATGCCAGAGTCCCCGAAGGGCCCACCTGTTGCTGCCGCCCCTCTGAGTCCACCTGGGAAGCCCCATAGCCAATCCTGTCGGTCCCACAGGGCCCTATTTTAAATGACATTGGACTCAGCCAATGAGGGCTCAGGCTGAAGGTAAAGACCACCCTGTGACCTAATTGGCCACTTCTGCCCCAGCTGATAGGTAGGATTACTGCTACTCGATGATGATGATGATGATGATGACGACGACGACGACGCTAAATGGCCCGGTGCTGCCGTGTTTTGCCAGAGATCTGGTCACATGAGGAAGAGGAGAAGCCAAAGTAATGCTAGCGCTCGCTCTCTCTCTCAGTCTGTGTGTGTGTGTGTGTGTGTGTGAGAGAGAGAGAGAGAGAGAGAGAGAGAGAGAGAGAGAGAGAAACCAGCCAATCTTTCTCCTCTCCATAATGGAGGCGAGAAAGGTTGACTGGTTTCTGTTGGCTGAAGTCACCTGCTTCACTGGTTTGCACTGGTTTGCACTGGATTTCCATATCTCTGGATGGCACATTGCACACTGCATGGCATTCTATAGCAATTTATCATTTCATTAGTTATTAACATGTCTGCACATCGCATGGTATTTTTATCACATTCAATTGTCTACATATGGCATTTCAGTAGTTTAAAATTTTTTATCATGTATGCTGTGCTGGGAAGGGTCTATCCTAAAGGGCAGCCCAAAAGGATGTTAAAAGAGATAGAAACACACACATATGTTCAGAGAGTTTCCTAGAGGAGAGGGGACTGTTCACCATCTCAAAATTGGCAAGAGAAGAACAATGAAAATAAACGCTTTGCACATTGAGCACTCTGTACATCCCGAGACACAAAGCCAGCCCCCACTCATCAGGAAAAGTGCTTGCCCGAAACAGCTCAAACCCCATCTGACTTACGGCAGCCGTGCGGTCAACCTCATTCCTGCTGCTCAGAATAAAACAGGCTTCCCCATTATCCATCCTGAAAACACAGGAAGGAACCCGTCAGTCAACTCAGCAGGAGATCAGAAACCAGATAAAAGCCTTCAATCTTGAGATGCAGGAGGGCTAGAAGGCTCCATTAGAAGGCTGCCTCTCTTCCTCCAGACTCCTGTACACTTCCCAGAGAGTTCTGGCCCCTTAAAAAATAAAGCCCCTAAAATAAATAGGCAATCAAGAAAGAAAACCCACCTCCAAAAGCTTCATTTTCTGCAGAGTCTTTGCCCCAGTTTGCATGGCCAACAGCGAAGGGTTTCAGGGTAGCTTGTTGCCATGCCCAGACCTAACACTGTTTGATTTTTATCATAGCCTGTTTTTCCACAGAAAAACCACTCTGATAGCCCACGGTTTATTCTTGGGTTGTTTAGAGAGGCTGTTTTGGATATCCACACCTGGCCTGGCAGGACAACTTCATCGTGGGTTGTCAGAGAGTAACTGGAGAGCCACACGGCAAGAGCAGGAAAGGGACCCGCCCTTATTTATTTATTTAAAACATTTCTATGCCGCCCCCATCGCAACAAAGCCTCGGGGCGGATCACAAAGAATACATAAAAACATACATAAATAATAATATAACAATTAAAAAAATTGTTCCCTTCCTCACCAGCCCAGTCGCTCTGCCAAGCACCCTCCCTTATTCATGGCTAGCGCCTGCCACCCTGAGCACCTAAAAATTGGGAAGAAGGGGCCCTGGGGATCTCCTGAGTACGCATGCTCATTTCTTCAGCCTTTTGCAAATGCAGACATGCAAGGTCTGTTGCTCTGGCAACCGCATCGTTTCCTCTCCACTTGGAATTTCGGGTATATTTATCAGTCCTCCGTTTGTCTGTCTTTGATGGACCCATAATGATGATATCAGTATGATGAGGCTGCCGATCACATCACCACCTTTTTCCAAGCAAAGAGCACTCATGACTTTGCTCTCCCTTGACAGTTCACCTTTTGACGGTTGTCAGGAGAAAGCAAAGCAAAAACGAAACCATATTCGGAGCCTCTCTGGAGCCTTCAGGGTTGCGTTCCTGCACTGTGGCAACAGGTAGGCTGTTTTTCCCCTGGGAGAGTGCCCAGGTGAGGTTTCCCATTTGGACCTGTGTGCACCTTCACACTCACTCAACCCCAAATCAAAACATGACCTTAAAAAGGGAGGGGCCAACGAACGACAGCCCGCCTAGCACACTCCATGGACCCTTTGGAATGGCTGCCATTAATGTATTAATTTAATTATTTGAGTTACGCCCAGCCTTTTTCTTTTAAAGAAATCAAAACGACTTCCATCCTCCTCCTCCTCCTCCTCCTGCTCTCAGTCTTATCCCCATAACAACAACCTGTGGGGCAGAGAGTCCGTGAATGACCCAAAGATACCTGGTTGGCTCCATGCTTGAACAGGGGCTAGAACCCAGATCACCCGAGTCCCAGTTCCATACTCTTGACTGCTAAACCACACTGGCTCTTAGTTACTGGTTACTACTGGAAGCATAAGTGGGGGTGCTAAAAATGTCAAGGGTTTCTGGGGTGGGGTGCCACTTTTGCTGAGCACCTTGCTTCAGTTTACCCAGGTTGAGCCAACTATGGGAAAAACAAAGACTGGGACCAGGCAATACAATAACCCACAACACGGATTTAGTTTGAATCAGACGTGGGTTGGCAGAGGGCCGGCAGCAGGAAAATTATAGCCGGAGACTTCCTGAATCAGAGCTCAGTATACAAGAGGATTCCGATGAAACTCAGGCCAAGCCATCCGTCTCACATTCAGTCTTGGAAAGCAAGCTGAGCTGAGAGGAGGTCCATGACAACCTTCTCCCACCTCAGGTGCGGTAACACAAGCAAAAGCTGCATCACGTGGCGCGGAAGGGGGCACTCATTCCACAGTGCATGGGTTGGATTCCAGGTTAGCAGCCTGCAGACAATGGACACGCTCACCAGGAATTCAGTGGACCAGAGTCAGGAAACATGGCCCAAGGAATCCATCAGATTCCCAGTGCCAGTATGGATTTCTCCACATTCCTAGCCTGCACCACTGCATTCTCCAACATGCACACACACACACACACACACACACACACACACACACACACACACAGAAAGCACTCTGCGGGAAAAGGTATCTTCTTTACTGGAAGGAGCTCTATTGCAATCACGCATAAGCTCTAGGATCCTGTGTGAGCTGCACTCCAGCTGGGCCCTCTCCCCCTTTCCAACTCACTTTGCTCTCATTAGATCCTGATCTTTCAGGGCAGATCCCTGGAGATAGATCACCCGCTGAGACCACAGTGGGATTTGCAGGACCCGCCGCACCTGAATATCCATCTCTGTCGGACAAAGGATCACCACGTAGTAATCCTGAAAGAGAAAGTCTGGTCAGTCACGATTAAGCTTCGCCGCTCAGCCCGTGTCTTGCTAGGGCAAGCTGCAGCATTCCAGGTGTATGACAACAGGAGTGGATCTGGCTTTTTCAGGAGCACAGAGCTTCATGCTGTTTGAGGGCACATCGACGCAATGTGCCTGCATGTGAAATAGAGGGGAGAGGGGGCCCACCTGAATGACTGCCCACCCTACCAAGAGGCTGAGGATCTGGAGGTCTGCACAGGAAGGCTATTCGACATTGAACAGCCTTTTGCATCCTTTCAGACTTGCAGTTCTGAAGGTCAAACTTTATGATCTCTCCACTGGCTAATTGCATTTCATGTGTCCCCTTTTAAAAAGCAGGCACAACCGGGTCCAGTCAGATTCAGAACCTCGGGATGTGAGGCCGGGAGCAAACCCTTTCTGAGAACAGAACGCATTGCTCACGAAAACTCAGCCGCAGCTTCACCTGCAATCGAGGGTGAGCATAAAATTCATTGAGGAAGTCCATGAGCAGGTCAATCTTGAGGGAGCTGACACAAAGGACCACGTGCTTCTCTGTCTGTGCACGGTGGCGGCTGTAATTTCCTCCTGACTTCTGGCGCTCCATCCACAGGTAAACGAGTTCTTCAAACTGCAGGTGGAAGAGAAAATGACCCCATTCCAGGGCTTCAGCCACGATGGAGCAGGGCTGAATGGCCGAAAAGGCCACTTTGAGGCACTTTGAAGAAGGTTCCCCCTGCCCCCAACGGAACTGGTTTTTTGGAGAATATTTGAGTTGCAAAGGCACTGGTTCAAAAGGCGCATGCACACCCACACACAGACTGACTGACTTCCAAACTCACTTTAGCAACCTATTCTAGACGGGGGTCTGATGAGGGGTATCCCCCCCAACTAGCTGCTCTGTTGACCAAATGGGGTCCATCTCCTGGAGTGCATGGCCCAAATTACACAACAGAGAAAGGTTTTCTTTACAGTTTTATTCTCCAAAATAACAGGGTTGCCAATGAATCATTCCAGGCTGGCACATCAGAGCAGTACGCGGTTGGCCCCTTTATGCACTGATCATTAAAAGGTTGCATGTAACACCGTTAACACTTTCTATTAGCACTCTCAAATCTATTAACACGGTTAATAGATTAGAGAGGTTAAAAAGTTGCGAGGGTGTGATCTTTCCCGCCCACAGACCAAAGCAGAACGAAACTGTTCTGAAGGAGGAGGGGGCGTTATTTAGGTGTGCGGGGGGAGTTAGTGTGAATTGCCTTGTGTTTGAGCTGCTGTTATCTGACAGGTATCAACCGGTCCCTCTTTGGAATGTCACCCGGTAAATTTCAGTCATGTTTCAATGCTGATTTCTGGGAAGGAGGGCTTGAGGAACCTTTTGGCTGGTGGGCAGCATAGAAATATAATAAATAAATCAATGGGAATGTGGGTGGGATTTTAGGAGCTCAGGCCGCAGTCCTTCAATCTCCACTTACCTGCACTGGGACCTCCAGTCCCTTCAGAGGGAATTCCTTCTGGGTGGCATGCATGAGATTGCACAACCCGTGCTCATCATGTTCATGATGAGTTCAGAGTTTATTTCCCCTTGGTAAGTCTCCAGCTGCATTGCAAATGAAATCTGAGCTGCTATGAAGAGATAGGGTCTTGCAGGTCCTGCCAGAGATGCCCCGCTAGGGACTTACACAAAAGAGCCGGAGAATCAATCTACTGTGTAGAATGAAGCTTCTTAATTCATGGTTTGGCATCTGATTGAAATCAGGCAGTGAAATCCTTCCCCAGGTTGCCTTGACTTCTTCCTCATCACACATTCAGGGCAAAGTGTTATCAGCTCAAGCGTCAAGGGAGCAAGGGAAAGTTCTGTTTTTTGTATTTGAATTTCTTCCCAGCCTTTCTGCAGGAATATGATTTTCGAAAGGCCCTCTCCGAAAGCTGAACTTGCAAGCCCGAGGCAAAATGCCCTTGATGTTTTAAGTTGCTCTGGTCCTCCATTAACTGAGCTCGGCTCCTGGCCTGTCTTAATTCTACGAGCGCCCTTGGATTACAGTTTCAACAGTGTCATAATAACAGAAGGCTATTCTAACCTGCAGGGGCAACACAACCAGTGCGACGCAGATCATGATCACCACCAGCAGCTGGGAGGGCCAGATTTTGGGCGTGACGTCCCCGTAGCCCACCGTGGAGAAAGTGACAATGCAAAAGTAGAAGGATTTGAAGAGGGACAGGTTTTCCCCGGCTCTTTCTAAGTGCTGGATGCCGCAGGTTCTGGAAAAAACAAAGAAGCATACAGCAGATGCAATCCCACATACAAAACAAAGGCTCTTCAGGTGGAGGTGGAAGAGAGAGGGAGGGAGGGAGGGAGGGAGGGAGATGAGCTGCACTTTCGCACTTTCAACAAAATGAAACGAAACAGAAAACAAGGACAGCATGATGGGACCTTCCAAATGCTCTTACCCATTAGACTCAGGATACAAGCCTCCGTCATTCAGAATTCCAAAAATCCCCAGAGGAACTCAGAACGCCAGGGAGATTCCCAGCTGGAGACTGTGCATCCCAAAAAGGGTCCTTCATGCTAACCTACGCTCAATCAGCACAGCGATCCCAATTTTTGAAGCATCAGGACCAGTCTAGTGAGAGCTTACCCAGTGAAGACAAGACACAGGAGGGTGCAGATCAAAATTAGCACCTGGTTGAACATGGCAGACTGGGTTCTTTGAATCGCTCGGTGTAGGTCATTCTGGAAGAGAGAAAGCGAGAGAGAGAGAGGCTGTCCTTATGTACTCTCCAAACTGGGATAGTGGGGCCAGCTTCAGATATTCCCAGTGCAGAGCCTCTTTCCCATCCATTGCTAGGAACTGAGAAATTATTCACTCCCATGATCCACAGGGCAAGCATTGCCCCTTAGACTCCCCACACTAAGGGTCCAAGCTCTCCACCCTCCCAAATTCTGGCCCCTCAGGTAATCCCTCAACTACTGATGGTGAAGCAAGATCTGGTTTCGGGGCTGGTGCTGGGGAAGCATCCAGGGGCAAAAGAGTGGCACTAAAGATGTGGAGAACCAGAACAATGAGGCAGGGGATAGGATCGGTCAGGAAATGGACCAAAGCATAAAACCCTTTTTGGAGTGGAAGGAAGGAAACCATGCGCCTCTTGTGCATGAGGAAAAAGTTCTTTTATAAGCAATTCCCCGAGCTTACATGCTTTGGTGCCCAGTGAGTTAGCAACGATATAGCTACACTGAACTGTTTTTATAGTTTTTATACTAGTTGGTGGAACACAACTTTCAAGCATGACAGTTACCATAGGCAGGTTTGTGCCGGCAAGGGATGGCTGGGCAGGGGGAGAATTCATTTGGCTCTCATTTCAATACGAAGTGACCCAATTCCCCCAACCCATGAACCAGGAAGCAAATGCTCTTCCCTGTGCACTCCTCTCCAAACATTCTGATGCAATTCTCCAACGAAAAAGCACTTTAGGGGAAATAGGGTACAAAATGAATAGATTTGTGGAGCTGGCTTGTGAAACAGGTGGATATTAAGGAACATGTGTGCAAAACCCTGTACCCATTTGGCAAGGGGATGTTTTAAAAAACTGCTGATGCAGAAATGGGAGGGAACAAACTTTTGCTTCAAAAACCTGGAGTGCCACAGGAAGCAAAACCCTAGCATGGGATGAGTAAGTGAGCTGAGTCCTCTTTCGTGCCACACAGAAGCAGCATCGGCAAAGCTCGCGGCCAGTTTGGTGAAGCTTGGTCTTTAGTTGTTGGGGGTTTTTTAGTGCCTTGCCACATTTAACCTGCTTTCGCTCATGTGATTCTCTGGTTACTTACGATCATGTTTTCCAAAGCATACTTTGCCAGCCAGCAATTCAGGAAAACGGGAATGAACAGGTTGCGCAAAGGTGGCCAAAATATCTAGAGAAATAAACTCTGGTTAAGTGCATGTTTTCTGGAGCACGGGTTTGCACTGGCGTGCTACGAAACGATGATGCAGCACTGTGGTGAAAGTGCCAAGACTGTCTACAGACGGATTCTTTTCCGGGCACCACAGCCAAACCCATCATGCACGGTCCTGCCAGGTCAGACCAAGGAGTGCATCTGGTACCCTTCTGTTTCTCAACGTGCCCAAGAAGATGCTTCTGGGAAAGATTTCAGAATGAAGCACAAGACACAGATGAAACCTCATTCTGGAGTGGACTTGGGTCTGCTGACTTTGTGGGAGCTCTGCTTCTGGTGCCTCCAGAAGGAGCTTGTTTCTTGTACTTGATTCTTGATTTTGCTTGTACTTCAGACTTGGTCTGAATCCAATGCACATTCCTGCCAGCAGCTGTGCTCTTGCAAAGTGCATGCATTCCTGTATGCAGTTGTGCTCTTGCAAAGAGCATACCTTTCTCAAAGGAGCTGGGAGAGCACGCCTGAAGGGTATCCTGAACGAGCAAGGGCATTTGGGCTCTGAATCAACTTATGAAAGAATATTTGCATGCCGGTCACCCAGAACTTACTGTGATAATAAAGGGCACAGTGTTGATCATTTCAAGGATGAAGGATACACGGAAGATCTGCTCCCAAATGTTTCCCTAAAATGAAATCATATTCAGGCAGGATCCCATTCATGGATGCATAATCAGTTGCTGTGTATTGCATAAGCCAGCCTTCTCCAGTCTGGCACCTTCCACAGGAGTTGGACTGCACCTCCCATCATCCCCAGGCGTCAAGAACTGCAAGAACGATGCCGCTCCGCTGGTGACTCGTTTGCAAAAGGTAGCATGCAGGTGTCTCCAGCACCAGGGTGACCATGGGGGTCCTTGCCAGGACTGGAGCCCGTCTGATCACGCGGAGCAGCTGGGAGTTGGGAAGCCTCCGTACAAGGTTTTCCCACGGTGCTGTGCTGGGCCACTGCGGTATCTGAGGCGCTCCCACCTCCCACCTCGCCATGCCCTCAGTGGTGCCTGGCCCCGACTCTGCCCTGCTTCTGGGGTGACCGGATCCAGCCCAGTGCCTGACCCTTGCCTTGGTCTCTAGCCCTGCATATCTGACCTCACGTGCTCCTGGCTCTGTCCACCCTTCTGGTCCTGCGACGCCTTGATGGTACCCAACCCTTGACGTCCCTTTCCCCCTGGCCTTAGGGCACCATGCCAAGCACAAAGATCTCTACCTATGCTGTGCCAAGACCTCTCTCTACCTCCCCCTGGTGCTCCTGCCAGAGACACCTGCTATGCTTCTTGTCCCTCCACTAGCTCTGTACATGCATCAGTCACAAGGTTTTCATGCTGGCTTGCAAACTCTGGGATCAGTATGCTAGAAACCATGGAGCAGACCAATATCGGTGTTTCCATGAACATGTCATTATGCCCATCTTCTGACCAATGCATGGAGGACCAGGTGAAAGCACCAAGAAATGAAGTCCTCACTACCACCACAAGCATCTGGAGAACATTGTCTGCCCATGAGGCTGAATGTACAAATTGGGTCCTTCGGATACATCCGTTGTTTGTGATCATGTCATTTTCGCATAAAGCTGGTGTCACCACTGGGCCAAACAACACAGCTCATATTGGATGCAAACTGAGGTTCATAAGTTCTTGTTGGAATTACACTCCCACAGAGAGAGGTGCTTGTGGGATTTTATGTTTCTTGGAGGGCGTCAAAATCAGTTGGCCAACTTTGGCTCAGCCACCATGTTCCCCACTTGAACGTTGAACTTTTGGGTTATGAATACGTGTACGTGAATGCAGCCTTCATGGAAGCCAGCCAAGGGCTTCCTTCAGCTGATACTTCTTTGAGACCTCCTTCTTACCTTGTAGCTGAGATAAATCAGCAGCATCGTCTCGAGAAAGCTAATAATGGCTACGCTGACCTGAGAGGAGAAGAAAGAACAGAAGGAGTCACAAGACTGAGGAAGAACACCAGAGGAACATTCTGCATCTGTCCAGCCCGGGGATGATCAACTTCATAGCCTACGGATGAGAACCACCCTTCCGAGGTTACGCACAGACATATCTAGCAATGCCATGGCAAATTTCGAAGTACAGGAGTTTTTCAGGACAATCTTCATACTCATGCCTGCTCCAACCAGCAGTTGTGTTCTCCTTATTTAAATAATATAAAACAACATGCTTTCCAATCAGCTAGCATGTGAGCATTCTGGCTAGGAATTTCATCGTAAAGCACATCAAAACCAAACACAATCTTAGTGAAAGGCACACCTGTAATTCTGTGCAGTTTCCCTTCTGCTAATCGTCTATGTTTTTTTAATTACACCTCCAACCTGTTTTTATTGATCCTTAATTTGGAATGTTCTGTCCCATGCATCAACATCTTTTGCATCTGCACGCACAATCCTGCTTACCTGAATTGCCCATAACGACTTGTTCCTGTCCACCCATATGATTGGAGTCCTGTTGAGAATATTTGATGAACAAAGACAAAACCTTTAATTTGTGCTATTGTTATTTGAGGCCAAAAACATGACACTTGGCAGCCGGGAAAGCAAGCGTAATTTCTTTGACCACATCGGAGTAAATTCCCATTGAATGCCAAAAAGACTATTGATTGGTTTAGAGTATCTTCCATTTTGCTCCTCATTATTGTACCATATTATGTACCAGCTGTACATCTTTCAAAAATAAGATTTCATTCCATGCTGGATGGAATATAAAATATAGAAAATTGAATATGAAACACTATTACACTAACATCGAGTACTGAAAGAATGTATCTTCAATGTTTAATATCATTTTAACACATCCTCTCATCTTACGTGATCCTTAGTTCCCAAACTAATCCCACAGGTCAAAACACTGCTGTCCGTCCAATTTTGCACTTCCTCAAATTTTGCCAGAGAAAGCACAAACTTTGAATAAGTTATTGGCACAGTCTTCCACTTCCCCCACATCACAAGATAGCAAAAGATGTATCCAAATGAACTTTTGGACAAAATAAATTTCGAAATGTGCACCTTGCAGAAATCACCATGTGTTCTCAGAAAATGCGTTTAGGAATTCCAAAGCAAATGTTTGCTGGATTTTTGTTAAAGAGCTATCCTCAGGTTTTAGGGCTTTCAACTTCCCCACAATAGATGAACAAGGAAGGCATAGCAGAAAGATTTTCAATAGCAGCCTTCAGTTATGGAATATCCTCTCCAGAAAGGAACAGCTGGCTCCTATTTTGTCACGGTGCCAGAGGCAAGTAAAAGCTTTCCCTCACCCTGCCTTCTCTCAGGATCTGTAATTCTCTGAACATTTCTGCTTCCATGCTGTATTTTTATCACATATCTGCAATGTGCAGTGGAGAAGTTGGACTGGGGATATGGGTTATCAAGGTTCTAGTCCCCAGGAACTTACTGGTGACATTGGGCTTTCTCAGCCTAACCTACCCATCATTTATCTAACGAGCAGAATCATGGATAAATTAGGCTGTATTATTTCTAGCTAACCAAATACATCAGGAAGAATAATTCATAATTCACCTGCTCGAGATGCTATTTTGCTAAATCTAAGGATAATATTTTGGAAAGCCTTCAGACACGCACCGCCTTGTACCACCCCAGCAACTGGAGTGGGACTGCATAGGAAAAGTCTTACTGCTTGATTTCACAAATGGTAAACTCGTTTATAATTGGATCAAGATATGGATAGTCTCAGAAATCTGCTAAAAACTTACCAGTTTATTTCTGTAGATGATTGGTTGAAGGTTGAGTAATTGTGTTTTTCGCATTCCCAGCTGAAGTCAAAAAAAAAAAAAAAACCTGAGTGAGCTGATCGTGTTCAGTGGGGAACTGCTTATGATGAATGATTTATACAAAAGACGTTTCTGACAGAAAGCAGCAATTTACAAAGACAAAGAACCTGGCCAAGTTTGGGGGCGTTTGTGACACATTAAATTCCCAGCCAGCTTTTGCACCTGTGGTCAGGATAATCTCCAAAGAGGTGAATCACCAGAATCTAGAATTGTTTCTCAGAGACATTAAGATTACTGCAGTCTAAGCTGTGGGTTTTGTCTTCTGATACTATCAAAAGCTGTGCAATTTGGCTTTCACTTAAAAGTTCCTGGTGCGCTATCAGTATTTTGGCATTTACTCTAGATGACATTCTGAACATTTGGCCAATTTGGCCAAGGTGCATTTCAATTTTATTCCCCCCAATTCCTTTTTCCCCTTCTTTGCCTGTCTTCTTGTCCCTCCTGCCTTGGATAATATTATGTACTTTATATGTATTTATCTTTTGTATAGGCTGATAGCTGCTTTAAAATAATCACATATTGTTAAAATATCCTTTAAAAATACTTAGCTATAGACCTAGTTTCTATTCTGAGGTATATGCTACAACTCCTTAAACTAGGTCTAAAGGGTTTGCAATTTATCTCTTTATTAATCAGATCTCTATTCTCCTCCTCCTCCTCCTCCACCTGGTCTCCATCTTATTCCCCTCAACAACAACCCTGTGAGGTAGGTTGAGCTGAGTGCCTAGGACTGGCCCAAAGCCACCCAGTGGGCTCCATGGCTGAGCGGGGACTCGAACCCGGAACGCCTGGGCCCCAGTCCCATGCCCTTAACCACTACGCCACACTGCCTCTCACCAATTTCTGAGGAGCTTGGGCAGGAGGAGGTCTTGGATCCATCTCGCTTGGGGAATCCAGTTTACCACCATGTGAATGAAATACCGGACAGGATGAACCACCAGTCCCGTCCAACATGGCTTTTCTTACGCTCCAACTCACTTGGCTTTTTAGTTCAATGAGTTATCAATGAAACTGAAGGTCTTTATATTCTTTTGGCTGGAAAACATAAGACCCTGAGGAAAAGTCTACAATTTCCATTTCATCAAGTCACCCTCAGTGTTTTTCATTAGACTGTATTTCCAGTTTTTGGCTTGTTTGTTTGTTGCTTCTATAGCATGACTACATAACTTCAATGTTTGTACGAGTGACGCTTTAATCGCTTGGAGCATGACCCAGTTTGTCCAGAGTTGCAGTTTTTCAATCCTTCCATACCCTCAGTCTCTAGCACTTGAATGCTTCTCTTCTTACTTACAAGGCAGATAAAAAGTTAAATGTAACAGAGTGAACTGGAGAGCCAGTGGGATGTCGTGGTGAAGAGCATGGGACTGGGACTCAGAGGACCTGGGTTCGAGTCCCCGCTCAGCCATGGAGCCAACTGGGTGACTCGGGGCCAGTCACAGACGCTCAGCCCAACCTACCTCACAGGGTTGTTGTTGTGGGGACAAGATGGAGGAGGAGAATGATGTAAGCTGCCTTGAGCCCTTTGTAGGAAAAAGGCAGGATATAAATCGGAAAATAAATAAATAAACTGAGCATTTCAAAATCAGCAAGAGTATAGTCAATTTGTGTACCGCTGCACAGAGGTCCAATAAGGCCTTTACAGAGGGCCAAATTATTGTTAATCCTGCTTACAAAAGCAAAATTTTACAATGTTAACAAACTTCACCGGATGAGAATTTGAAATTTCTGCCAGCTCACTTTGCTACTTCTCTAAGCACATACCTTTGGCAGGAGCTGTGTAATATTAAATCTGAACTGAATATCCTTTCAGTGCAGGAAGAATTTCCTTAACCTTTTAAAGTCAAGTCATTTGAGGCTGGCTATTGGATGGTATAGAAATTAAATACATTAAAAAATTAAAAAATCAGGAACATGCTTAATGCTCTAACAAGAGTTTTGCACATTGTCTTAAACCATTAAGTATTATTTTGGCCATTAAAGATGGGAATGGTGTGCTAGATACATCCCACAAAGAGAAAAAGTTAAAGTTTTACATCAATTTATATACTATGGACATATATATATATAAATATAGTATGTATGTGTATGTATGTATGTATGTATGTGTGTATATATATATATATATATATATATATGTATGTATGTATATACATACGTACATATGTACAATTTATATACTAATTTATATATCAGGACTCAGCTTCACAACTAACAACAACATATACTATGGATAAGGAAACATTAGAAGAATAGTAGTTTCCTCAACTTAATCTTCCAAGTTTAGATTCCCCACAGTTCTTCTCAGCTTCCTTGCATACTGGGAAATTTATGAAAGCGATTTCAAATAGGAACACATGAAAATAATCTGCTCCAAATATCTTTCCAGTTTAGTGAGGTAAACCATTGCTTAGCCTTTGGTTTCAAGTCACCACCCTTATCTTTATATTTTAGAAGCATAGAAACAGAGCGAGCCAGGAGGGACCTCCTGGGCCATCTAGTCTGACCTCCGGCACCAGCCGGCTCCGCTCACGACATGCCCACCGTGTGGACATACAGACTGTCCTTGAACACCTGCACTGGTGGGGCCTCAACCGCCTCCCGAGGAAGCCCCTTCCACATATATTTTGATTCTGGGATTCTTTCAGCATCGCTAAATTACATTTCTAAGTCAGTGACATGCATTACGCACGAACCGCTGACATATTTCGTTAATTAATGCAGATATTAGCAGCCATCTGGGCTGATCGGTTGCAAGAAGTTAAGAGAGGACTTGTTCAAGCAGAACAGGTGGGAGTTGTTAAAAATCGGCAAGGAGCTGACAATCTTTGATTACTCGTTGATTTGATTGCTTTAAATATAAAGAGAACAGATTCAGCTGTTGTCACCTCCTTGGCTGCTAAAAAGGCCTTTGATGACATTTATTGGAAATTCAGTTTTGCCCCCCGGGGCATATCTGGCTGCCCTGCAGAATATTCAAAACGGGTCAACATTTTATCATTAACTCCATGGGGTTTTTTTTCTCAACTGCACTAGACCAAGATGTCCACTTTCCCCATTGATATTTGATATCTGTTTGGAATCCCTAGCGTGTGTTATAGATGAGAATGATTACATTATATTTCTATACTGCCCATAGCCAAAGCTCCCTGGATGGTTCAGGGCATTTAAGTCACCCATCCAAATTTCAACCAGGTCTGATGCTGCTTAGCTTCCAAGTTAAGTCAGAATCAGGCACTTCAGGCTATCCAGAAGCTTAGTGGTATTTATGGATTTGTATATAATGATTTAGATTTAAAATTAAACTTTATCCTGATGACCTTTTATTGTTTATCCTGAAATGCCAGCCATCAGTTCCAGCCTTCACAGAGGCAATTCAAACTGGGTGATTTGTCTGGCTGGTTAATGAATCTGTCAGAGTCTGAAGTGGTGCGAATTAGAGACAGCATATGCCTAATGACTGAGAGTATGCATGTGTTTCTAAATTATTTACCCACTGTAAGGAACTGACCAAAGGCAAGAGGATCTTGTGCACCATTTTGACAGTCAAGAGACTGTGCAAGCAAAGAGAAACCGCCACCTCGCATGGCGGATTAAGCACCCAAGGGTGCTTTCGATATTTGAATGGGTGCCCATCCCGAAGCAAAGCAGAGGCACATCAGGTGATATCATCCCCCAAATCCATTTCCCAAGCTCCATCCAGACCCTGCTCTAGAATGTACTGAATTCTCCCCCGCTTAATTGCCCCACCCATCAATTGTCCTTAGCTTCATAAATTAAATTAAGTCCAAATAAATACATTGGTGCATGATTCCATTGCAGGGTTCAAAATATTGCATGGCTGGTCAGAGGGCTGGAGTGGGGGGGGGGTGGAGAAGGGGGGGGACCAGTGATAAAATGTGGAGGAAAAGTAGAGGAGGCGGTTCCAAGAGAGGGTATCCCTGCAATGCAGTGACGGAGGAAAGTTTTCATTGGCACCAATACGCTTTTGCAGGTGTATTGCAAGGGAGATTGGGGTGGTATATAGGACAGGGAATTTCTCCCTCTTCAGCTGCAATCTCCTTGGAAAACTTTTTGCCCAGCTGTTAAATTGCGTGGGGGGCAACGCAAGGGCGCAAATGGAAAGAATTTTTCCCACATCTGATTGGTGTGGGGAATTTCTGTGCATGACAGCGAGTGGGGTGGGAAAGACTGGCCATTCCTCCCACCCCTGTGCCCATCGCTGGCAATACTGCTGCCCACTGCGTGCAGGTGGAGCTGAAAGGAAGGAAAAGAGAGAGAGAGGGACCAGCTGGGATCCACCTGTCTGGGGAACGTTTTGGAAACAGACCTGGAGCCAAGCCTAGCAACACCCCGACCGAGCTCCTCCTTCAAAACCGGGTCAACAGAGAGACAAAGGCATATTGTCAAATGAATAAATACCCTCACCATCCTATCCGTTGGGGATCGTCAAGCAGGACACGGACGATATAGAGAAGGCAGGTCAGCAGCTTCAAAGAGAAGTTGAAGAGCCGTATCCGCAGGCCTGCAGCCAAAAAGGTAGAGACGATTATTAATGAAAGTCTTCTCTGCCTTGGAACAGCTTCAGTGCGAGGGACTCAAATGATTCAGTGCTGAGGTGCAAGGATGTGTCTTTCTACAAACATGGAAACCCAGACTTTTCTGGCCTTTGCATCTCTTGCCAAATCTGTGCACCTTTGAAGAAGCGTGTAGCAAAATAAAGTGTGAGTTTTGAAAAACCCACTGAAGGAAAGATTCCCAAGGAAAAGTCTGCTTGTAACAACATGTGCAAATCTGTGTCTGTTTTGGGGAAATAGGCATGAGGATATGTATGAACTAAAGCAAAATAATGGACTAGCTGATGAGGAAACGGGAATCAATGCACTTCGAAGGGGAAGAATGAGAACTCAGAGTGAAATTCAGCAGGACAAAATTGCCCGTCCCACTTCAGAGCAGGGATCTACCCTGCTTTTCAGAGGGATCTCAAGATCCATCAAGCAGAACAAAGTGCAGAGTGACAGCTCAGGAAGGTTGACATAAAATCGCAGAGCAGTTGTCGCGAGTCCCTGGCAGATGGTCGGGCTTTTTAGGGCGAGTCTCCCCCACCTCATACTCCCCACCCGACCACCCTCTCTGCCCCCTGCAGCTTCCTTCCTGCAGTTTGTCTGCTGAGAACATGTGACTCTCCAGGCATTGTTGGACTCCAAGCCCCAGCCAGCATGGCCAGTGAGGCAGGATGATGGATATTGTTACAACATCTGGAAGGAAACGAATTCTGCACTCTGGCTATGCATGTTCAGAAAATGTGGAATAATATGAGAAAATTACGAGGCTATTCTAATTATAATATAACAATATTTATATAAATGTATGTATATTATATAGAATTATACATAGGCAAGCCATTTTATCTTCTGTAAACTGTCCTGAGGCTTTTTGCAAAGGGTGGCATAGAAATGCTTTAATTAAATTAATTAAAAAGTAAATTAATAATAATAATGAGTCAATGTGGTGTAGTGGTTGAGAGCTCAAGGCAGGGGGAGATCTGGGTTCTGGTCCCTGCTCAGCCTTGGAACTCACTGGGTGTCTTTGGGCCAGTCCAAGACTATCGGCTCACCCTACCTTGCAGGGTTGTTGTTGTGCGAAGATTGAGAGGAAAAGGAGAATTAAGTAAACTGCTTGGAGTCCTTTGGAAGGAAAAAAGGTGGGATAGAAATGAAATTAATAGGCTGGATGTGCACATGGTGGGCATGTCGTGAGCAGAGCTGGCTGGAGCCGGGGGTCAGACTAGATGGCCCGGGAGACCCCTTCTGACTCGCTCTGTTTCTATGTTTCTAAGAATAAATACATGATACATTGGCAGGCAAGTTCCTTTGTTTTTAGTATTTTATCTCTTCAAAAATATGAGGGCAGCTCCGCACACATTTTGCAGGATTTTTCTGCGTGGGGGCAACTGTAGCTCACATGAAAGGATCCGTCGGGCCACTTTGCTATAATAAGCACTGCAAATTACTGTGTGTGTTTGTTCTCCTGAACGAGGCAACAATACATGCTTAAATGTGGTTGAAGGCAGGAGCTTCCCAGGAAGGGAAATGTTTTGCTGCACCGAGCTGTCTCCTTTTTCTCCTCTTCCCCTTCACTGCATGGTTTAGAGCAAGCTGTTGGAAGAGGCTAGCAGAATCTTTCTGAAGGCAATTTCATCAAAACTTTAGGACAGGACTGGGCACTGGCAGTTCTCGACCTAATTTCCTGCCTCAACCTAATTTCAGAAGACCTCTGCGTGCAATTAATTCAGAAGACTGCCAAGAGCAAACTGCCCATTCCAAGCAACCAGTTGTGCGAGAAGGCAGTGGAGGAGAGAGAAAGGAATGGGGTGGCAGAAAGAGATAAAAGGGGAACCTGGCACTTTTGTCTCGGGGCTGCCCCCCCCCCAATGCCTTCAGCTCCACACACTCCTGACATGTGGTCACCTAAAGATTGTTCTTGAGGGAATGCAGCAAAAAGCTTGCCCTCCCTTGTGGTAAAAGTTGCAGGAACTGTAGGCCTAACTATCTGGAAGAGGGTCCATTCCCAGCTCATAGGATGAGCACAAAAGTGCATCCTTGCTTTTGGCCTTCAGCACCTGGTCTCTGTGATAGACTGCCTCTGCACATGGAGGTTCCATTTGGCAATCACACCTAATGGTGGTTGATAGCCTCCAGTCTGTACAAATGTTCAAGGACCCCTTGCAAGGACCCTAAACTACCAGCCGCCATCAGCTGGGGATGCAGAAGGATTTTGTTGCATCAGTATTTTTAAATGCACAGAGGAGGGTTCCTAAATAATACTTAGGAAGGCCGGGTAGCACTTTTTCTGAATTTTGCAATATATAGTTCTCAGCACAAATTGCATAAAAATCTGTATTTCAGGGTTACAAAGATAAACATTTACCTTGAGAATAAGAGACTATATATTGCACGTATGATGCTAGTGCGAAGAAGAAGAGACCAAAAAACAAAACAACAAAACAAAACAAGAGTGTGCTAGGCTGAGATTTCTGCCAGCAGCAGATGGCAGTGTGGTTCTTCAACAATACTTCTGGGAAGACAAATGAGAAATGCACAAGGATTGTGTTTCTTGCTTTGGTTTGAGGGATGGAAACAATACAGGCAGGGAATCAGGAATGGAAGCCGCACCTCTGGAAAATAGCCCCATACACACCTACCTGAACAGGTCTTAACACAACTTACAACTTTGCTTTCAGAAGAGTATGAAGCAAAACTGTTCTGAGCAAAAACTGGAAGACTACAACCCTGGCACTCTCAAATGCTCGCTGTCCTGTGCTGTCTGTTGTCATATGCCAAGTCCATGTTACCATATGTCTGGCACATATATCTACACACACACACACACACACACACACACACACACACACACACAGAGAGAGAGAGAGAGAGAGAGAGAGAGAGAGAGAGGAATATAGAGGCTGTGGGTGGAAACACGTACTTGATCTTTGGTTTTTGATGAAGAATAGCTTGAGACGCTCCTTGAAGGTGTTTTCGTTCACATAAAACTCCACTTGGACCCTGTTGGGAAGTAAAGAAATAAGTGAGGAAGAGTAATTATAATATTGCAGTGGAGAGAGCAACCCTATGGGCCCAGGCAGTGGATGGGATGTGGCAGTTCCCCTGCTTGGAGGCCAGAGCATCAAACCTGGAGGAGATCTAGCCACAGGGTTCCCACAGACCCGGCCTCTGCAGCTGCCGTGGAAAGTGCCACGGTTGGCTCCTTGCAAAGTGTGGTGCCATGACCTCGGAAGGGGCGTAATGGGGGCTCTTAGCCAGTTGGCAGCAGGATAGAGCCATGGATGCATTGAACCAAAGACTTCTCCGCTCCCATTCCCCTCCCAGTAAGTAGAATGAGTTTGAGGGGCTCGGAGACCATCTCACGTAGAAGCTGTAGAGGCGAAAACAGCCTCTGCCATTCTTACGATGGATGGAGGGCTTTCTCTCCCAAGAGTGTCAGGAGCAGGACAAAGCGGAGTTAGGACTGAGCAGATGGAAAACCAGTCAGGCCGGAAATAGGCCAGTCTCCCCTCTGCCAGCCACAACCAGCTCCTGATCTGTGCAGCTACCATCTGTGATTTGCACCAAGCATCCAGCTAACGAGAAGGTTGTACTACTGAGGCGAAAATCTGGGGCAGAGAATCGGAGCTCACTACACCACTTTGGGCCAGTTTTGAAGATAAAGCATTGTTTATCCTCGCTGATTCCATCATGACAAGAAAATACGTCTTAAAAGCACAAACCGCTTCAGTTTCACAATACTCCTCTGAAAAACAAGCAAACCTTGAGCAAGCCGCTAGGCAAGGAAAATGAAGCGGTCATCTTGTGCATTTTGCGCTGAGATGAGAAGTGAGGGAACGTAAACATCCACTTGGCTGCATTGCTGGTCAGCCCTTCCCGATCTGTTTTGGGGCACAACTCTCGGTGCCCCCAGTAATCTGAGGTGATGGGAGTCCCCGTCCCAAGCAGATTCGGGCTGCCACTAATGTTTTACAGATTTCTTCCCATGTTACCTCCTAGCTGATCATTTTCTAAAATAAAAAGAACCAAACATTTTATGTTTTCCTTTGGAGCAGTGCTCAAATGGCACAGGAATGGGTGTCATAAGTGCAGGTTAGGGGACAAGTGGCTGGAGAGCGGCACTTGCGAAAGGGACCTTGGGGTGCTGGTTGACTGCAGGCTGAACATGAGCCAGCCGGGTGATGCGGTGGCCAAGAGGGCAAACGCCACCCTTGGTTGCATAGCCAGAAGTGTGGCTTCTAGATCGAGAGAGGCATTACTGCCACTCTGTACGACTCTGGTGCACCCGCAACTGGAGTATTGTGTTCAGTTTTGAGCCCCTCATTACAGGAAGGATATAGCCAGGTTGGAGTCAGTGCAGCGAAGGGCCACAAGGTTGGTGGCCGGTTTGCAAGGGATGCCGTATGAGGCGAGACTGGGGGAACTGGGTCTCTTCAGCCTGGAGAAGAGGAGACTCCGAGGGGACAGGAGACAATTAATGTTGCTCATTTCTGGGCTAGATCTGTTTAACTTGTACACATTTTAATTTTGTACTTCACATTTTAAATGTATTGTTTTATAATATGCCCTGATATAATATGTTCTGTAATGTGCCTTATCTTAATTGTGATGCTTCTGAAACAAATAAAGAAACGATTCTATGGGTCTCAACATTGGGATAAGATCTCCCTCCCCCTTGATCCAAGCCTGGCCTTTCCTGGCCGTGCTCCTATCCACTCCCCGCAAAAGCAGCACTGATGCTGAAGAGGAGAAGAGGGTCCTTTTAGGTCCAAGGTTTGTGTTTTCTGCATTTTTAAACTGACCCGATCAGCTCTTCGCAAACTAATATACAGTTGTCCTTCAGGCTGCACACCTGATACAGTCCTTGGCTTAAATATGCCACCCAAAGTGTACAAAAACTATACTAACTGCCTATTTCAATGTGGATTTTTGTGTAAAGCTTGAAAATAAAACCATACTTGCAGATTGAGGAAACTGGGCACAAGAGATAGATTTTTAAATGCAGGCAAAACTGGCATGGGCCAGAAATGGAAAGATCGATCCATAATCCCCACCCCAAATACTAAAATCCCAAGAGGGAGAAAGTATGACAAGAACTTTAAGTACTGTATTTAAAAAAAAAAATCTGATTAATGCACACTAATTTAATCCTTATTAAAATAAAACCTGAGGAATACACATCAATTCAGTTTTAAAACAGAAGATTTCCATGTTCTTAAATTAATGCATTTATCACCGCAGAACATATATTACAAGAAATTAAATAGATACATCATGCCTCTGGAAATGTACGTGACTGTTGCCAGTAAAGGAAAGATCATTTTCCATTATAGTTTTGCATGGTTCTGCGAGATAAATGGTGCTGTCAAAATTGTACGAAGAGGAGGGATGGAATGGTACATACTTTTCTGCAAGTCGATGCATACAGAGGCACAGGCACATGTTACAGGGCTGCTTGGAACAGTTGGATAGGAAAAGGAAGGAAGAAGCTGGACTGAAAGTTCTGAGTTGCGCTCATCTTCACATTCACCATCCAGCCCGATTTTTAGGGCCTGGGTAATTCCCAAACAGGTCCAATCGGTAGGAACAGAACAATTACCCCAACAGAAGTGCTGTCATGACCCCAGATAGACAGATGCTCATTTTTCCCGCAAAGATGCATCAAAAGGTCAAGAGCAAATGTGACAAACAATTCAAATGTAATTGGAATTGAAAAAAATGGAAGAAGGCCCACCATCACACACAAACACACACACGTGTAATGCCAGGCTGTGGAGGCAGCATTGATCCTAAGCCCCTGCAGTTCCTCCTATGGCCACACTCTGGTAATTATCCATGGGCAAAATCCCATGGGAAACTACTGGAAAAAGTAGTTGAGGATCTATAATCGACTTAAAGAGATCGTTGGTGTACAGAATAATAATTCTCCCTCTTCTGAACTTCCATAGAGTGTTGAATGACAGAAAGGTAGATATTTGCAGTTTCTTTGAAATATGTGGGCTTGAATGTATTGGTTGCACTTCTTTAAAATCCCTTGGCAACTTTATTTTATTCTACAGATACTTTTCTTCTTTTTCTTTTCTGTTTATGCTAAGAAAATAATAGATTCACACTCCTCCACGTTTTTATGAGAGTCAGATACCACTCCCCAGAGATGGTCTTTAGGCCCAATTTCCAAATTTACTGCTTTGGAAAAGGGCCCCAGTGCAACACATCTCAGTTCTGATATTGTCCACTGTGACTTGGGTACCGAATCCAAGATGAGATTTATTATTTATTAAAAGCTTTCATAGGCTGTTCACTACAAGCATCTTGGGACGGCTTGCAAGAAGAAAGATTTACAAGGCTTGTCTTCCTACAGATTATCAGTAGAAATTCTGAAAAATGGCTACAATTTTTCAACCCCTTGCCCAGAAATCAATGAGCACTGGCAGGCATAAGAAACCCATAGGAAGAGATTACACCTGTCAAAAGTCAAACAAAAAGGTGCAAGGATTTTCTTGCATGAGCATCCTTGATATTTGGGGGATACCCAATGAGGATAGGTTAATCCTGAAAATGATACACAGCCTAGAGGCATCCTTAAGTAAGTTATCTGCAGAGTTTCAGAAGCATCTGAGCCAGAATTCAGGAGTTATAATGTCTCAAAGCCAGATTGAGATTTCTTTTCATAGTGGCATTGGTCTCATCTTTGCCCTTCCCAAAAAGACAGTGACAGGAGTTCCTAGTTCTTAAAAATGCCCTAATATTAGAAGATGGACTCGGCACACTTCTGCCATTGAGAAACAACCCACTGAGAAAGAATCCAAAAGAGAGACGGGGCGACAGAAACTCTTTCTCCATGGATGATGCAGGAATGCAAACTTGATCCTTGGCCAGGTTTGGGTCTGAGGGCTTCAGAGGCAGGGTGTCAGCCCCTTAGCAAGTACCAGAAATGGTCTGAAGGGGACCTATTCTGCTTGGGGTTTGAGCCACACCTGATGGTCCTTATTGGTTTAAGCACAGTGAGAAAGGATTTCTCCCTGCTGCAAGCAAAACTCGATTTACGAAGATCCTAGAGAAGCACAGCCTCCTTGTTTTAGCATGGCTGCCCTGATTCTACTGGGTTTTAGGATGCTACCCAATTTGGCTTCAGGGTTGGAGTCATGCACTTCATCAGGAGCCCTCCTATTGTCCACACACCATCACTGGTTGCAGGGGTTCTCCAGCTGAAAAGAGCAAAGCCGGATCAAATCCCAGTCCGGCTCAGCCTCTTCCTAGCTGGTCACAACCATCACCGATCAGGCATGCTTTTGAGGCTTCCTGGAGCTGTGCAAATAGCCAGCTGAAGTCCAGGCCTGCTTCAAGGTGCCCACTCTAACATATGAAGCCCTAAACGGTTTAGGACCTGGAAACCTGATGGAACGGCTTCTCCCATACACACCTGCCCGGATCCTAAGCTCATAGCCAGAGGTCACTAGTGAAGATGGCTGCTCAGGGAAGGGCGTTTTCAGCCATGGAACCCTGTTTACGGAAGCAGCTTCCCAGAGAGGTGTGACTGGCACCACCAACCCCTTCTGCTTCTAGGTGCCAGCCTAAGACCTTTTTATTCTCCAAGTATTTTAATTGTTGAATTTTATTGTTATTATATTTTTTATGAAGGCATTGTAGATCATTTGGGATTATTCTGTTTATGGACTGTTGACTTGCTAATTTGATTTGATCTGTTATTTATTCTACTTATTTAGTTTTATCAGCTTTTATCTTATCGCTATTGTTAATTATGTTATAGACTGTCGTTATAACATATTATTTTTCTTATGGTTGCTATTGTTTTCTAAATTGTAAACTGTCCTGAGAGCCCTTAGGCTAATTTGGTACAGTTTAGCAATGTTTCCAATGAAATAAATATATATCCAAAGAGGACAGGACAATATCTTGCCTCATTTTCAGAGCAAGAGGCCTCATGACATAAATACAGCTGCAACTATCGCTAAGCGCCAGTTGCTGCTGCTTGCTGA